GTGATCCCAAGTACTGAGATGAAAAGTGTAAGCTCTGTTTCTCTTTTAGACTGTTTCAATCTTGTATAGCCTAGGCTGGCCTTGAACTCATAAAGATTCATCTGCCTCTGCTTCCTGAGTGCTGGGATTAAAGGTCTGCGCCACCACTGCCTGGCCTCCATGACTAACTAATGGCTTGGCTCTGCACGCTGATCTTCAGGCAAGCTTTATTGGTTAGATCACAAACAAAATATCACTACAGGGTCCTGCCAGAAATTGGATAAAGTCTAGATGTCCATCAACTGCTGAATGGATAATGAAAACATGTAATATTTGCACAATAAAATATTCAGCTGATAAGAAAAATTAAATTTTCAGAAAACTGGATGGATCTGACAGAATCATCCTGAGTTAACCCAGACCCCAAAAGACAAATATAACATGTTCTCTTTTATATGTGGATGTTAGATTTTAAGCTTTAGACATGTGTATTTCAACTTACATGCCACAGCAGTGCTTAGGTAGCTATTAAGGTACCGGGGAGGAGAAGGGTCCAATTTCCAGCTCTTATGAACAGAGTGGCAATAGACATGGATAAGCAAGTATCTCTAGAGTAATATGTAGAGTTCTTTGAATGTATGCTCAAGAATGGTATAGCTAGATCTTACTGTAGATCTATTCCCAGATTCCTGAGGAACTGCAACATTGATTTCCATAGTGACTATACATGTTTGCACTACCATCAGCAATGATTAAGTGTTCCACTTTCCTCACATCCTTGCCAGCATGAGCTGTCATTTGTTTCATTGATGTTGGCCATTCTGACTAGTGCAAGATGAAAGCCATTTTAATTTTAATTTCCTTAATGACTAAGAGTGTTGAATATTTTTAAAAAAAGTTTTCTCAGCCATTTGTGTTTCATCTTTGAAATCTCAAATTAGTTTTGATTTGCAATTCTCCGATGGCCAAATATGTTGAACAATAATCTAGATACTAATTCTCTATCAGATGTGTAATTGGTTAAGATCTTTTCCCATTCCATAGGCTGCTGTTTTGTTTGAATGTTGGTGTCCTTTGTCATACAAAAGGCTTTCAGCTTCATGAGGTCCCATTTACTAATTTTTGGTCCTAGTACCTGTTCTATTAGTGTTCTGTTCAGAAACTCTTTTCCTGTGCCACTAAGTTAAATCATCCACCCCACTTCCTCCTCAGTCAGATTCAGGGTATCTGGTCTTATGTTGAGGTCCATGATCAATGGAGTTGAGTTTTGTGCAGAGTAATAAATATGGCTCTATTTTCATTCTTCTACATGGAACTTTCCAGCTTAACAAGCACTATTTATTGAAGATGCTATCTTTTCTCCACTGCATACTTTTGGCTTCCAATTTTGTAAAAAACAAAAAAATAGGTGTTCATAAGTTGTAGAATTATGTCTGGATCGTCAACTTGATTCCATTGAACAATGTGTCTGTTTTTATGCCAATGCCATGTTATAGCTCTGTAGTCCAACTTGAAATCTCAGATGCTGATACCCTCCAGCAGTTCTTTTTTTAATTACTAATCCCACTCCCCCCCTCTCTCCCATCTTCTCTTTCCACCCTCCATCCCCTCATCCCACCCCCTATATGCACCATATAGAGGGTTCTCGTGGGGAGTCATGGGAATTATATCCCATTTACACACTGAGCCACCCCCATGTCTAGGCTGAGCAAGGTATCTCTCCATAGGAAATGGGCCCCAAAGACAGTTCATTCATTAGGGGTGGCTCCTTGTCCCACTACCAGTGGCCCCACAAACTTCCCAAGCTACTCAGTGTCACCTGCATTCAGGGGCCCTAACTCAGTCCTATTCAGGTTCCCCAATTATCAGTCTAGAGTCAGTGAGCTCCAACTAGTTTGGATCAGCTGTTTCTGTGGCTTTCCCCATCATGGTCTTGGCCCCTTTGTTCATATTATCACTCCTTCATCTCTTTGGGTAGACTATAGGAGCTCAGTTCAGTGGTTAGCTGTGAATTTCTGTATCTGCTTTCATCAGTTACTGGATGAAAGTGTCAGGAGATCATGTCTATTTCCCCTTCCTAGGTAGATCCATGAATGTCATTCTTAGGGTCCTCCTTATTACCTAGTTTATCTGGAGTTGTAAACTGTAGGCTGGTTATCCTTTTCTTTCTGTCTAATATCCATTTATGAGTGAGTATATACCATATTTGACTTTCTGGGTCTGGGTTACCTCACTCAGGATAGTTTTTTCCAGTCCTGGCCATTTGCCTGCAAATTTCAAGATATCATTTTTGTTTTGTTTTGTTTTGTTGTTTTGTTTCCAGAGTAGTACTCCATTGTGTAAATGTACCACATTTTCTTTATCCATTCTTTAGAGGAGGGACATCTAGGTTGTTTCCAGGTTTCTGACTATTATGAATAATGTTGCTATGAACACAATTGAGCAAACGTTGCGTCATATGAGTATGGTTCCTTTGGATACATGCCTAAAAGCGGCATTGTTTGGTCAGGAGATAGATTGACTCCCAATTTTCTGAGGAACCACCAAGGTTCCTCTGACTTCCAAGGTGGCTGTACAAGTCTACATTCCCCACAGCAATGGAAGAGTGTTCCCATTCTCTACATCCTGTCCAGCATAAGCTGTCATTGGTGGTTTTGATCCTAGCCATTCCAACAGGTGTAAGATGGTATCACAGAAATGTTTTGATTTGTGTTTCCCTGATAGCTAAGGTGGTTGAGCAATTCCTTAAATGTCTGTCAGCAATTTTAGTTTCTATGTTGAGAATTCCCTGTTTAGAGCATGTTTTTTGCTTTATAAAACCTTCTTAATTTTAAAAGGTCCTATTAACCAATTGTTGCTCCCAGTGTCTGTGCTACTGATGTTATATTTGGGAAGTGGTCTCCTGTGCCAATGAATTCAAGGGTGCTTGCCACTTTCTCTTCTGTGAGGTTCAGTGTGGATGGATTTAAGTTGAGGTCTTTTATGCATTTAAACTTGTGTGCATGGCCATAGATATGGCAACCTCTAGTTATTCCAGTACCATTTGCTGAAGATGCTTTATTTTACCATTGTATAATTTTAGCTTCTTTGTCAAAAATCAGGTGGGTTACTAGCAGGGTCTTTGATTTGATTCCATTGGTCCACCTGCCTTTTTTCATGCCAGTACCAAGCTGTTTTCATTACTGTAGCTCTATAATAGAGCTTGAAGTCAGGAATGGTGATACATTCAGACATTCCTTTATTTTACAGGATTGTTTTGGATATCCTGAATTTTTATTTTTCCATATGAAGTTGAGTATTGTTCCTTCAAAGTCTGTGAAGAATTGTGTTGGGATTTTGATGGGAATTTCATCAAATCTGTAGATGGTTTTTGGTAAGATTGTCATTTTTCTATGTTAATCCTACTGATCCAAGACCATGAGAGATCTTGGAGATCTTTCCATTTTCTAACATCATCTTCCATTTCTTTCTTTAAAGACTCAAATTTCTGGTCATACAAGTCTTTCACTTATTTGATTAGAGTTACCCCAAGATATTTTATGTTGTTTGTGGCTATTGTAAAAGGTGATGTTTCTCTAATTTCTTTCTCAGACCATTTAGGATCTGTATATAGGAGGGCTACTGATTTTTTTTTTTAAGTTAACCTTGTATCCAGCCATATTACTGAAGGTGTTTATCAGAGGTAGGATTTCCCTGGTTGAATCTTTGGGTCATGGGTGTATACTGTCATATGATCAAAACATATCAAAAGTTTGACTTTGTCCCTTCCAATTTGTATTCCATTGAGCTCCTTTTGTTGTATTGTTCTAGCTAAGACTTCAAGTACTATATTGAATAGATGAGAGAGAGTGGACAGCTGTGTCTTGTTTCTGATTTTAGTGGGATCATATTGAGTTTCTCTCCATTTATTTTAATGTTTGCTGTTGAATTGCTGTACATTGTTTAGGAATGTTCCCTGTATCCCCAATCTCTTCAAATCCTTTATCGTGAAAGGGTGTTTATTGAAGGATTTCTAAGCATTTAATAAGATGATCATGTGATGATTTTTTCCTTTATTTTGTTATGTGGTGGATTACATTGACAGATTTTCTGCATCTCTGGGATGAAGCCCACTTGATTATAGTGGATGGTTTTTCTGCCATGTTCATGGATTCAGTTTGCCAGTATTTTGTTGAGTATTACTGCATCAATGTTCATGAAGGAGATTGGTCTGTAATTATCTTTGTTACATCTTTGTGTGACTTGGGCATCAGGGTAACTGTAGACTTATAAAAAGAATTTGACAATGTTCCTTCTTTTCTTTGTGTGGAACAATTTAAGTAGTATTAGTATTAGCTCTTCTTTGAAATTCTGATAGAATTCTGTGCTAAATCCATCTTGCCCTGAACTTTTTGGAGGGAGGAATTGGAGATTGTACTAGATGCTTCTATTTTCTTAGGGGTTATATGTCTACTTAAATTGTTTATCTGGTCTCTATTTAATGGTACCTATTAAGAAATTTCTTTTAGAAATTTCCAATTTTGTAGAATACATGTTTTTGAAGTATAACCTAATGAGTCTCTGGATTTCCTCAGTATCTGTTGTTATGTCCCCCTTTTTGTTTCTGATTATGTGAATTTGGATATCCTCTCTCTGCCTTTTGGTAAGTCTGGATAAGCGTTTGTCTATGTTGTTAATTTTTTTCAAAGAACCAACTTTTAGCTTCATTGATTTTTTTTGTATTGTTCTCTTTGTTTTATTGTATTGATTTCAATCCTCAGTTTGATTATTCCCAGCCATTTAGTCTGCCCGGATGAGATTGCTTCATTAAGTTCTAGAGCTTTCAGATGCTCTGCAGTGAAGAGGAGCTCTAAAGGACTTTCCAAGGTGTAAAACAAAGTAGCATTTATTTTAATTAATCTAGAAGTCTCGGAGGCCTACTCCCATCCTATATTTAGACAAGCAAATTTTTACAGGTATAATATAAAATTTCTTCTAGTTGTAGTATATCAGTATCAAGAGATACATTTGTTTCCTAACAGGATTGACAAGATACACTCAGAGTGGAAAATGGAGTGATAAAGTTTTCACAATATACTATGATCACTTGGGATTCATACACAAACTGACTCCGGAACACTTTGACACTGGCTCATCACCTTCAGGCGCTCGAGCTTCTCATCATATTTTTGGATCGGTCAGTAACATGATACACTGAAAGTGTTTGTCTTGTTTTGAGAACAAATGCCACATTCTATGTGCAGAACAATGATTGAGATGGTGTTTTCCTTAATACAAACTCTTGTAAGGTTTTAAATTTGTGGGGGGGGGCAGGTGTTTAGGGAGGCTGTAGGTGCTAGGTCTGTCCTAAAGTTGGAGTTACAGGCAGTTGTGAGCCATTTGGCAGGGTCCCTGCAAACCAAATGCAAGTTCATTGCCAGAGCAAGTATGTGTTCTTAACAGCTAAGCCATATCTCCAGACCCTTCTGGACAACACTCTTTGCTATAGGAAAGCTTTGTATACAACATTGAACACCTCCAAAATCTTCTCTGAACCCCTGGGTATCTTCATACAAGATTTCACAGCAGAAAAGCAAGTCTGTAACAGATCTTTTAGAAGAAACTCAGCACCTGATAGAGTTTATTTTCTACCTTTAGATGTTGTCCTTGAAGACAGATGACTTTTGACTTGCCTTTCACCTTCCATGTTAACTAGTCCTGCTCCCTAGTTTATTCCTTATTATTGCTGGCATAGAGCACAGTTTTGCTGGCCTTCACAGATGATAATAGATGCATAATTTTAATATTTACAATGTATAATGTGCTATTTCTGAAGACCACACCTTGGTATTCAGAGCCCACATGGTGACTCAACCATCTATAAGAATAGCTCCAGATTATCCAATACACATTTATTACCTCTAAAAGCAGTAAATTCACATATGTGGCACATATATGCCAGCTGTGGTGTTTGGGTTTTGTCAACTTGACACAAACAGATACATCTGAGAATAATGTCTTTTGAGGACTTGGACACATCAGACTGGCTTAGAGCCAAGTCATGGAGGCATTTTCTTGATTACTGGCTAATATGGGCAGCCACAGCAAGAAAAATTCTTATATGGCCTCTGTTTCATTTCCTGCCTCTAGGTTTCTGAAATTAAGTCCTTTCCCTAATTTTGGACAATAAGCTGTAATCTGAAATAAGTCATTTCCTTCCCAAGTGTATGACCAGCACAAGAAAGTAAGCTAGCACAGAAGGGAAGCACTTATACACTTATGATTGAATAAATATATTAAAGTACACATTAGTTAAAAGATCAATCTGCATACTAGGACAAGAATACGGGTGGAGAGGAGGGTGTTTTTGTGTTCTCTGTCTGAGACATACACACAAGGTAAAGAGAGGAATTCCCGGAGGGGAGATGCCAGCATGTTCTCTGAACTGGAGTCTGGATTCTGCGCATGTACACAGTAGATGATGCTAGCAGTCTGCTAGACATAACCACAAAAAGCAGCTGTCAGAATTTCACTCATGTCACAGTTCTGCAGAAAGTAGCTTAGCTCCCTTCAATGAACGCTAAAATAGATAAGATGGAGAAACTATAGGGCTTCTCATACTCAGGACAAATTTGAAGAACCTAATTCTGCTGCTTTATTTCTTTCTACAAATGATTCATGCATCCTCTCTGGGAAAAAAAGCCGTCACTAGTTCTTACTATGTGTCGGGCACAGCTGTGAACTCTTCATCTTTTAACAACCATTTGTCCTCATTTCCTTAGGAGGGAGGCAAGGCACACAGAGAGTAAATAACACCCATATTCTGTTGGGGCATTAGAATCAGGCTTTTCACTGAGGCAATTGACTCAGGGTTGTCCTTTTAGCCACCCTATTTCCCTATCTCTTTCATTCCTGGTGAGTGCCCATGATTCAAATACTGGGAGGAAAACATGACAGGAAATGTTTGTTGGAAGCAGTACTTGATAGATAAAACCCAAAACAGGCTGTAATAGCTACAACCCTTTACACACACATGCACACATGCAGGCATACACACACACACACACACACACACACACACACACTAAGACACATGATCAACACCCACAACCATTTTAAAGCTGTATTTTCTGGCACTAAAAGGTCCCAGAACTGGTCAGTTCAGGAGGAGAGAATTAGATCTCAGAAACCTAGGCAAACATTACATAAAGGACTGTCTGTAAGTTCTGTAAGGTGGATAAAAAGGATATTCCAGCAGAGAACCACAAGGCTCAAGACACAGACCATGAGACTCAGAGCATCAGTGCTTGAAGGACAGGCCCTTAGTGGACTCTTGCTCAGTAGCACCCCTAGTAAGAACACAGTTATGACAGTATCTGCTGTGTTCAGGGTGGGGTCACCATAGATAACCCAGCTTTATAATCTGTACCAACAAACTCATCATACAGCACCTACACCATCTCAGCCTCCTACAAAGAGCACAGGAACCTCAAACTGGGTCTTAATTATCAGATTTCCTTTTCCTTCACTGCAGAAAACTAAGTTTTCTCTTACACACACACACACACACACACACACACACACACACAGATATCCAAAGAGCATATAGGTATGTTACTCCGATCAATAAGTAAAGCAGGATCATTTTGATAGGAAGGGGAAACACGTTTGCTATTTGAATTGCATTATAATTGCAGCGTCAGACATTGAACATACAATATTTCCTCTTCTCCAATTTCAGCCTCCTGATTTGGGATTTAATACTGCACTAGCTCCACAGTATCTCTCTCCCAATGAGATGCTTTTCTTTGCGTATGTACCTCTGACTGAGCCTGAGCACAATATACACAACAGGATATTTAAAAATATTCACCTTGGGAAAGTGATAAACCACAGGTAATTGAAAATCTGCTCACACTTATTTAAGATACCTGGTGGCTTTCAGATTCAAAATTTTAACCAACTTTTTTGAAGATTTGTTTTGGTTTAGTAAGTTTTTTAATGTCTTTCATGACTAAATACATTTTTCGAGACGGATTATCACTATATAGTATTTGCTGGCCTAGAACTTTCTATGCTGAGCAGGCTACTCTGAACTCCCTGAGATCTCCCTACCTCTGCCTCTCATGGGATTTCTCTGACTTTTGATTATCTATGTGACTATTAGATTGAGTTTTTCAGGTCTCCTTAAGTGAGAAAAAAAAAAAGTCTCTTAACAGGTGTTAGACCTTGAAGAAGCAAGCAAATTCTACTTTGTGTCTGCAACCAGTTTGTGGGTGGAATTTGTCTTTCTCAAGTGGCTTAGCAATAACTTTTGTTTCAAAATATTTATTCTCACTGTGTGTGTGTGTGTGTGTGTGCGCGCATGTATGCATGCTTGCCACATGTGAGATCAGAGGACAACCCACAAGGATTCAACTACTGTGCCATCTTGCTGGGGGCTAATTCTACTTAATTAATTACCTTAGAATTTTAGGAACAAGACGCGTCCCTGATGCTCTTTAGTGGGTCAAGAGTTGTGTTATACTCCCCTCTTTTTGAAAGTGTGTTCACTTGAACACTACAGAGAGCTGTCTTTGTGTTCTTGCACAATTGCTTACAGCTTTCTCTTCTTAGGAAGGAAGGGGGAGGGGATGAGGATGGCGGAGTTTGAGGAGAATCCTCAGATAGCACTGACTGACTGTTTGAAGCCTGTGTGTAAGTTTCTGGTGCCCACTCTTCTGTGGATGGGGGGTTTTGCCTTCCATGAAATGAAGTTCAGAAACTTGAGTGATGCAAGCCTGCTCCTTCTTATTCTCTGATTCTTCCCAGGTTGCCTTGCTCTCAGTGATCCTCACCGCTGCCGGGCCCCGGTCTTTGTCATGAACTTTGAAGGGAAGCCATGGGGCTTTCACTGAGTATCAAGTCCCTTTGCCCAAGTGCTCCAGCCTTAGACTCACATGTTGGCACAGACTTGGCCTTTGGCACGTGTAACAGTTTGGGCTGATGCTTTCTTTCTTATGTCGTAAGCACTGTTTCCTTTCCCCATGCTCTCCTTCCATGGTGAAAATGATAACTGGTGTTTGGTGTTTCCTTCAAGCTACTAATCCTGCTGCATTTTTGGTTAGTTCTGGCTTAGTTCATTTACTATTGCTATGGAAGAACACTTGAAACTGGGTGATTTACAGAGATAAGGGATTTGTCTGGGCTTTTGATTCCAGCCACTAGACTATCCAAGCTAAGACTTCCAACTGTGGTCAGGGCAGCGACCTTACTTAGTGGTGGAAGGTAGATAGATGGACAACTGGATGTTCGAGAAACAGAAAACTAATGTCTCCTCATAACTATTTCATTCCCAAGGCAGGGCTGCACTCCCATGATGCAAACATTTCATTATTAGTCAGTGTTCTCTAGATGGACGAACAGACTGTGGTGCAGCTAGTCCAACAATCTACCAGTGGAAGGTTCAATAATCCAGTGGTTGTTTCAGCCCACAAGGCTGGGTATCTCAGCTGGTCTTTAGTATGTTCCAGAATCCTAAAGACGTAGGCTCTAATGCCAGGAAGGACTTGCCAGTGAGAGCAAGAGCAAGCAGGCAAAAAGCTAAAGGTTTTTCCTTTCGTGTTCTTTCTAAAGGCTGCAACCAGAAGGTGTGGCCCTGATTGAAGGTGTATCTGCCCGCCTCCAAAGATCCAGATGTTAAAGTGAATCTTCTCACTTCCAACTATTTAATTAAGAAAAAAAATCCCTCACTTGCCCCCAGCCACTTGGGTTTTAGTTGATTGCAAACATAGTCAGGTGACAACCAAGAACAGCCATCACCTCTCCACTGTCCCCCTCTGCACAGCACTGCTGCGTGGAGGAAGAGACCCTCAGCATGAGTCTTGGTGGGCACAAATCATAGTCAGAGTATGTCCATTAGGGAAGAGATGAGTTGATATATTCTTTTCTTGTAACTGAAACGAAGTCAAAAGTTTCATTTCCCTTTGTGTAGTAATCCTGTATTTGCTAAATACTTGTAATAATTTTGGTGCTTTTCTACATGCTCCTTTTGATGTTCCCAGCAGGCAAAGATATACTTCTAAGTAAATAATCGTATCTCCTGCAAACAATTTCTGTTTATTTCTTAACATCTCTAAGCATATTAAGCTATTTACTATTACAGTGTGCAGGCCTAATAACAAATATTTTAAGTAGAAGATATCTGGATTCCTTGTTGCTCCTGATTTTTAAAATAATCGTTTAAACATTGCACCATAACTTGATCTTGTAACTTGAAAAATAAAAACCCAGAAACAGATATTGGGGTTTAAGCTGAAAGGTCAGAGAACCAAAGCAGCCATGTGAGTAGCTCTTACCTCCACCAAGGCTGAAGCAATCCTGCCCTCATCATGGCTGGAGACATGTTGCCCTAACATGGCTCTAGACCAAAATGCCCCAGGCTAAACATATGCTCCTATCTTATATGTCACATGTGCTGGGATTAAGGGTGTGTGATCCCCAGTACTGAGATAACCTTTGTGTGAGCTGATTCTCTTTTGGACTGAATCAGTTTCATGTAGCTCAGTGTGGCCTTGAACTAACAGAGATCTGTCTACTGCAACTGATAACCTACTCAGACATATCTTTGCCCAGTGTTCATAATTTGTGGCAATGCTTACCACTTTTTGATAGAAGAAATTGCTGTGTATTCCAAAGCTGGCCTCAAACCTTCAATCCTCCTGCCTCAGCCTCCTGAGTACTAAAGTAACAGGTGTGCACCATCGTGCCAACCCCAGGATTCACTCTTGATGCCCATTCTGGGTGTTGGAACAAATGTCCAGTGGCAGTATAGTGTAGTACACTATACACGGTCTTGGTGTACTAAAATTCCACTGTGTCTCGTCTAGTAACCCTAGTCTTCCCAGCTCCTGGCAACTTGTTGTTGTTGTTGCTGCTGTCCCCTTAGTTTTACCTTTTCTAGAATGCCACACAATTGGAGTTACACAATCTTTTGAGATTTGCTTTTTTTTCCTCTCTAAATATGCTTATAAGATTCCTATTACCCTGCTTAAACAAGACCGGAACAATTATTACATCACTAAACATGCTATCATAGAAGGGGCAATTTGATAAGGCTCCATCAATAAATAAATAACTAGAGGAAACTAAGGTGTGCTGAGAACTGGAAAAATAGTCTTCCTAGGGCATGAGCCCCTTAATTGGTTATCAACACCAAGTTGTCAGCCCCAAAATCATGTACATACTAAGTGGACTAAGCAGATTTGTGTACATATATAATATACATATTATATATACATATACACACATGTATATACATTATATACATATATACATACACACACATATATGTATATGTATATGCATGTATACAAAACAAGAGAAAAACAGGTAATCAATTTGAAAGGGTACAAGATGAGGGGAGAGATGACATGGAAAAGTTGGCGGGAGGAAAATAAAGTGGGAAGTGATTTAATTATATTTTAATTTCAAAAAATTGAAAAGATACCTATTATCTTCCAATGGCTTAATAATTATTTAGTGATGAATAGTATTCTCCTGTCTGTTTGAAACACAGTTTATATAAATATTCACCCATTCTTTTAAATTATTTGTATGTGTGGGCCTTTTGCCTACTGTGCACTATGTGTATCCCAGTGCCACGAAGGCCAGAATATGGCATTGGATCCCCAGGAACTGGAGTTGCAATGCTTGTGAGCTGCTTTGTGGATGCTGGGAATCAGACCAGGTCCTCTGCAAGAGCAGCCAGTGCTCTAAGAGCTGAGCATCTCCCCATCCCCAATCTACTCCACAACTGAAATACTTCCCAGCTCCTCCCCAAGAACAAACTCTGGTAGTGTCCATATGCAGGCTGTGGTGTAGACAGACCCTTTCACTTCACTTGGGTTAATATCTACAAATATTGCATATGGTAAGAATATGTTTGAGATGAAAAGAAGCTACCTAACTCCCCATACCTTTCCACATTCCCACCAGGAATAAGTTAGAGTCTCTTTTTACATCCTTATCAACATTTGGCATTGTTAGTGTTTAGAGTTTTGTTATTTTAATTTCCAGTTCCCTGATGATTCTCTCTCTCTCCTAGGAGCAGTCATAGCCTCATTTTTTTAATTTTTTTCATTGAAATGTGAAGTGTAACATTGGTTCTAGAAAATTTGTCTTAATTTACAATCATAGCAGGAGTGAATGGGCATCTATTTCTATTCAAGTATCATCTCTACTGAACTCTGACATTTAAAAGTATTTATAGGCTGGGGGTGTGGATCACAGGAATAGCATTTCCTATTCATGAAGGTCTAGGTTTGACCCCAGCACTAAAAAGATGATAGCTAACTGGCTAGATGATAGACAATGGATAGATAGATAGATAGATAGATAGATAGATAGATAGATGATAATCTTTGCTCATTTTAAGTGAAAATTTATGTTGTATAAACCATTTTATTGACAACTAAAAACTTTCAACAACTATTGGCCAAATAGTCACTTGTTAGCTGGTATATAACTATCATCAATCTGGTTTATTTTATTTGTAAATTTTATGTTAATATGCCTACTTATTTAAACCTCTAGGATATCTATTTTATGTTTACTGGTTTGTTTTTGTAGAGGTGGAATTGCTTACATCAGAAAATTATTAGTGCATACCAATGGTCCTTTGGGATTTCATACCTCAGTCCTCACAGATGTAATAAAACCTTTTGGAATAGATGAATATGGAAGTATAGGAAGCTATTTGGTACATGGTTCTCTTGCTATTTCATATTCTGGAAACAATTTATACCACATTAGTATTACAACAAAAGGTAAGTATGAAAATATAATCTATTTCTGATGGTTACAAAAACTAAAAAGTTACTTTTTGAGAAGACTTCATATTTCTTTAGTGTGTGTGTGTGTGTGTGTGTGTGTGTGTGTGTGTGTGTGTTGCTGAAGATTGGATATAAAGCCTTGTATATGCTAAACAAGGACTCTACTACAGTACTATCTTTACTCTCAAATTCTAGTCCAACAGACAACCAAAGTTCACAGATACTTAGGTTACAGGAGCAGTTGTTCATAATATAATAAAACAAAGCTACGACTTCACAACTATATTCTCAGTAGTAGTGCTTATTATTTATTATACTGAGACTTATTTTGTCTTAAACATTGATCAGATGAAGTAAGAGAAAATGGTATTTTTGTGTCAATTAAAAATACATTTGGAATTTATTTTTTAAAAACTTTTTAAAGGGTGGCCATGAATGATGATGCAACACCTTTCTATCCTAGCACTCAGGAGGCAGAATCTGTGAGTTTCAGGCCAATCTGATGTAGATATCAAGTTCCAAGCTAGCCAGGGAGGTATGACTTTGTGTCAATTTTTTCTCAAGAATATGACGATTTTGCCCTACATAAAATTAATGAATTTGTACCAGGAAGTGGTGGTGCATGACTTTGAACTTATTGCTCATGAGGCAGGAGCAGGCAGATCTCTGTGAGTTCAAGACCAGCCTGGTCTACAGAGTGAGTTCCAGGACAACAAGGACTGTTACACAGAGAAACCCTGTCTCAAAAAAGCAAAACAACAAAAAAGGGGGAAATTGAAACTCTGTTATAAAGGATGTTTCTATTTCTAATTATTATCTGATAGGTACACAATAGAAGTTGATAGGGTTTGGGTCTAGATAGGTAGCTCAGTGATTAAAAGTATATACAGCTTGAGTGGAAGATTACAAGTTCAGTTCCCATCACCAACTTCAGGCACTCAGAACAGTCCAGAACTCCAATTTCAGGGGATTCAATGCCTCTGCTCTCTGAGGACACCTATACTCACATACACAAACACATAAGACAACATATAATTAGAACTCTGAGTAACTGCGATGCCATTAGAGATATTCTCTAGTAGAGAATGACTGGTTTGTTTCGAGTTTAACAAGATACTTTGTCTTTGTGACTAGACAGGTGAAATAGACAGGCCACAGAGGAAAGCAGAGAAGCCAGCCAAAGGCAAGTTATAGGGTGGGAGATCATGTCAAACTTTAGGTCCCTATTATGTCACCAACTGTCAAACCTGCACCTTTTCAAGCCAAGCATGCACAAGACTCTGAATTCAATCTACACCCCACAAAGACAGAGGTTAAAAACAGGGGAAGGACGACAATAGTAAATCTGAACGCCAGAAGGTGGTTCACTCCTGAACCCTAGCACTTGGGATTCTGAGGCAGAAGTCATGAATGAATTCAAGGTGAGCTTCAACTATATAGCAAGAACCTCTATTGTTTTTCTTTTTATTGAAAAATATCATAAAATGTATTTTCATCAAGTTTCACCACCCCACAATTCTTCCCAGATCTTCCCCAGCACTCTATACTAGTAACTTTGTGTTCCTCCCTAAAAACAAACAGCAAACACACAATGCTCGCCCACAAAAACAGAAACCAAAATATACAAACAAAAAACCAGTAAGACAAATAATGCTAAAACAAAGCAAAGTAAAACAAAAAGTCTACAAAAAAATACCACTGATTTGTTTTGTATTACTCAACTATTCCTGGGCATGAGAAGTAACCTGCCTAGGCAGTGTGTGTGTATGTGTGTGTGTGTGTGTGTGTGTGTGTGTGTGTGTGTGTGTGTGTGTATGTGTCTGTTCCCATATCTACTAAAACAAGTGTATCTGTGTATCTGATGAGGGCTGAGTGAGGCACTGATACATAGGTGTAGAAGAATGTCATTAAAAGTCTTTTTATTGCCATGATCATTTAACAGAATAGCATGTATAGTCTCAAGTTCTTCTCCACTTTAGCAATAGCAAATATGAGTTCCTTCTCATAGAGTGAGCCTCGAATCCAGTAAGAAAGTGGTCGGTTACCTACATAGTTTTGTGTCAGTATTGTACCAGTATGTCTTGCAGACAGATAACTGGTGTGGATCACAGGATTTGTAGCTGTGGTGATAATTAACTTTCCCCTCTGACAGCATGCATGCAGAGTACCTTCTAGTACCACAATCAGGAATCAGTAGGCATGAAGCTTCTAGTTAGGTACCAACCTGACTTCTCTGTGTTCAATGAGATATATAATTGTTGTCTTCATTAAGGGCCTTGCCATCAGCTTGTGGAAAGTAAACACTACCCTTGGCAATAGCTGGTGGTATTTGTGGCTTTCCATAGGTCCCTTTAACCAACAACTCAACAAAATGTAATCCATTCCTGGCACTGGATGTTTTGCATGGTGGCATAAGAGGTCTAGTTGGGTCATTGTCTTCCTCATTAATTGTTGACTGCATTTAGGTTCCTTTTATATATGAATATATTTTAGGCACAGTAGTAGGTTACCATATGGCTTTTAAATGACCTTTGATGTTAAAAGTATTTTCCTTTCTTTTACCCTTCTCACGCACCCTTATCCTATTGAATCCTCCTATTTTAGTTTCGCTTTGTCACTCCATAACAATATATTTTATATTTCTGGGTCTTCTTTCTCCATCTTTTAGTTAGATTGGTTAATAATTTTATTGAGTATTTTTGCATCAATGTTTATGAGGAATATTGGTCAGTAGTTATGTTCCTTAGCTGTGTCTTTGTGTGGCTTAGGTACCAAGGTAAATTTAGCCTTGTAAAAAGAGTTTGGCAATGATTTTTCTAATTCTATTGTGTGGAACATTTTGAGTAGTATTTGTATTAGCTCCTCTTTGAATTTCTGGTAGAATTCTGCACCGAAACCATCTGGACCAGGGTTTTGTTTTTTGTTTTTTTTTTTTCTTTCTTTCTTTCTTTTTGTTTGTTTGTTTGTTTGTTTTTTGTAGACTTTTAATGACTGCTTCTATTTCATTTGTGGTTAAAAGTCCATTTAAACTGCTTATCTGTTCCTGACTTAATTTTGGTAAGTGATATCTATCCAGAAAATTGTCCATGTCTTTTAAATTTTTGAATTTTGTGAACTACAGGTTTTCACACAATTTTTTATTTAAATTAGAAATAATCTTATTTAATATATCAATCCCAGTTCCCTATCCCTCCCATTCTCCCATGCCACCCATGTCCCCCATCCCATCTCTCTTCTGCTCCATAGAATGGGTGAGGTCTTCTATGAGGGATCATCAAAGTCTGTCACATCATTTGGGGCAGGTCCTAGGCCCTGCCCCTTGTGTCTAGGCTGAGGGAGTATCCCTCTATGAGGAGTGGGCTCCCATTGGCCATTCGTACACTAGGCATAAATGCTGTTCCATTACCAGATGTCCCATAGACTGCCCAGGCCTCCAAATTGTCACCAATGTATAGCGGGCCTGGTTCTGTCCTATGATGGTTTCTAAGCTGTCATTCTGGGGTCTATGAGCTCCCCCTTGTTCAGTTCAGCTGTTTCTGTGTGTTTCCCCAGCATAGCCTTAACCCCTTTGCTCATCACTCCTCCCTCTCTACATCTGGATTTCAGCTTATCAATTTCCAGCATTCCCTCAGACTGTGTTTTTTGTTTTTATTGTCTCTATTTCAGCTTTCAAGTCTTAAACTGTTTCAGTTGTTTCCTTCACTTGTTTGGTTGTTTTTTCTTGGCTTTCCTTGTGTTGGGATGGTCATGTCTTGCTGGTGTAGAGTCCCTAGACTCTGGCGGTGTCATGTTGGTCTTTCTGTTGTTGACTGTGTTCTTATACTGTCATCGTCTTCCCATCCCTTCTTCCAGTGGGTGCCAATGGGGTCACTCCCTCTCCTGGTGGGTACTGGTCCAAGGTTCTCTCCCGGTGAGTGCAGCAGGTCTAATACTCCAATGGCTCTCCTCTTCCTGTGGATGGAGGTAGAACTAGCACCACGAAGTAGGCAGACTCTGGATGGCTCTGTCCACCTGGACTGCTTCACCCGTGTGCAGTTCCCAGGCCAGCAGAGCCTGAGAAGGGCAAGCAGAAGACAAGCTGGAAACGGGCCTAGATACCCAAACCAATTTATATATTTTGAAAATGCTTTGACTTCAAATTTTAAGTCTAAGGACACGTTACTTTGGGAAAGAGGTTCTGTTTTTCTTTCCACACACACACACACAAAAAAAAAAAGCAGTGGATTTCTTCCAGACTAATATGGTTTGATCAAGCAAGACCCCCCTGAAGCAGTGGCCCAGGTGATTCAACATCCAAAGCAGCTGAGAGGATGAAACCTTGCAGGCTACTATAGCCAGAATTTGGCCAGGTTTCTGTGTTTTCTAAGGATCCCCATGGTATTGACAGCACCCCCAAACAGCAGGAACTATACCAAAATTCCCAAATATTGTTTTAAATTGTTTGTTTACATTTAAATTTGGGTTAGCTATAAATGGGTAATGATCACAGCCAATCTCTTTCTAATGGAAAATAAAGGAGAATATGATATAGAAATGGATACTACTTTGCATTGGTATGGATTCTGATTTATTGATAATAATTTAGTGTCAAATTGTTATAGGTATATTTCCCCTCTTGTTTATATATCGTGTTTATACAGCTCTGTTAAAATGTATAATTAAATACAGATTATATATAGTCACCTATAACAGTCAAAACTTATAGTTAGGGACTGGCCAGTCTAAGGGACCTCTGACAGTAGAACCAGGATGTATCCCTGGTGCACAAAAGGACTTTGGGAGCACATTCCCCATGGAGGGATATTCCCTTAGCCTAGAGGCAGGAGGGAGAACCTAGTTCCTACTCCAAATGACTTGATAGATTTTCATTGATCCCTCCTGGAAGGCATCACTCTCCCTGTGGAGTGGGGGAGAATGAGATGGGAGGGGGAAATGGGAGGGAGGGGAGACAAGAGGGAGGGAGGGGAGAGGGAGAGGGAACTGGGAACAATATGTAAAATAAGAAAAAACAAAAAAAAATTTAAAAAAATTAGGTTAGTTAGGTTTTCTAGACCTACAGAGATATATTTGACATGGATAGTCTTCAAACCTTGCAAAGACCTTCAGAATATGGCATTTAAAATGGTTTACTAGCATTTTTCCTGAATGTGAGACACAACTGCTCCTGGCAACACCAATTACATCAAAAAATGAACATCAAAGAAAGTCAATATGGGGTTGCTTTCAATATGGCAAGACTAGCCATTTGGGCAGGAAACTGCTCTTGCCTGGACCGTTTAACTGTGTGCTTATAAACTGGACATGCAGGACCCACAGGAAAATGACTGCTGAACTTGACAAAAAAAATATGGTATAGTTCTGCAGGGTTCCTGCTTCTTCATGGAAGAGTCTGCCAGACAGTCTGCAGGACACAGACAAAAATGACTGACAAACTGCCCATACAGGTGGACAGTTTCAAATTTCCTGTTTCACTGAGACATCAGGCCTGTAGGCTGAAGACAGATGCCCCAACATTATAGAAGAACTTCAGGTGTGTTCCTGTCACTTCTAGAGTTTATATTTGATCCTTCTGAGGTCTTTGATGGAGTTGAAGACAGATAGTTTTGGTTATGGTTTTCCTTAGTTATGATAAAACATAAGATATATTTAAGACTTTAGGCTCACAAAGATAGGATAGATGATAGAATATTTTCTTTAAATTTTGGCAAATGTTAATAGACTAAATGTTGTAACTATAGTTTTTTCTTCAAAAAATTTTTGCTATATATAAATTACTATGTTAAAGTTAAAACCCTTCTTTTTATTTAGACAGAAAAGAGGAAATGATGAGGATGTTTGCTGTGTATATGTTTCTCTTATTGGTTGATAAATAAAATACTGTGCCCAGAGGTCTACAGAGGGTGAACTTCTTTATGAGTCTTAAGAATACCTTGTATATATGATTGCCTGGAGTGATAGCTCAGCAACAAAGAGCACTTAGCCTTCAGTCATGAGGACCAAAGTTCATATCCCAGAATCCTCGTCAGTTGTCTCCCAACTGTCTGTAACTCAAGGTCCGAGGGCTCTATTGCCCTCTACTATCTTCTGTGGACACCTATAAACACATGTATGTACATACACAGGCAAAGGCACACAGATGCACAAGCAAAAAAGAATAAAATTCAAACTTTTAAAAGAATTCTTTGTATGTTTGAGATACGAGCTTATTATCAGATATGCATTTTGCAAAATTTGTTCCAGGCTATGACTTGTCTGTTCATTCAAATAACAAAGCCATTAAGGATAAATTTAATTCCAATGAAATTAAGTATTTACTCATAGACCTGTTGTTAGCTGTCTATCTGTAACCTTACTGCCAAACTAAAGATGTCTGTAGTTACCTTTGAGAAGATATAAATGTGGCATCTCACATCTAGATTTATGATCCATTTTTACTAAGTTTTATGATTTTTGTAAGTGTTTTTACCTAAGTCATTTCTTTACTTGTGCATTTCCCAGTGCTCCACCCATGTGTTGAAAAGACTATACTTGAGGCCAGGCAGTGATGGCTTGTGCCTTTAATCCCAGTACATGAGAGGCAGAGGCAAGCAGATCTCTATGAGTTTGAGGCCATTCTGGTCAACAGAGCAAGTTCCATAGCAGCTAAAGCTGTTACACAGAGAAACCCTGTCTCAGAAGACAAAAAAAAAAAGTGAACTTTCTCTCTTCAACTTCCTTTGCTTCTTTCTGAGAGATTATTGTCAGCATTATTTGGGTTTATTTCTAGATTTTCTGTTCAATTTCCTTAGTGTTTGGTCTTTCAAAGAAAAGCCACAGTCTGAATGGCTACAGCTATAAGTTAAGTCCTGAAAATGAAGTGTCAATTCTATGAATTTGTTTTCAATATTATATTAACCATTTCATTGTCATCTTTTGCCTATCCATGTAACATTTATAAGTTTATTTTAGTCTGAAGTGTACTGAATACCAGTCCCTCAAACTTGCCCCCTTATCCCATATTTTTTTCTTACTATAAAGCCAAGTTCAGCCTCAGAATCATATTCAATCCTATTCCTCTGCCTGCTCCTTTTTCTTTTCTTTTCTTTTCTTTTTTTTTTAATGTTACATGATTGATGCTGTAGTTTTAATTTGAAATCTATGGCTGGAAAGTTAGCTCAACAGTTAAAAGCATTCATTACTCTTACAAAGGACCCAGGTTTGGTTCCCAGGACCTACATAGTGGCTCACGACCATCTGTAACTCCAGTCCCAGGGAATGTGACACCATATTCTGCCTCTGCCAACACCAGTTGTGTACATGGTATACATACATATATGCAACCAAGACAATAATACACACAATAAATCTAATATTCTTCACCTAAATTTGAAGTCGAAATACACATAGTTGAAATACAGGAAATTATTGACAAAGAACAAAAAAACAAAAAGGAAATAAAAGGCAGGTAAAGAAGGGTTAAGAGAGAGTAGGAAGATTCTTCCGTTTTTCTCCTTGCTGAAAAATTCTTTAAGATTTATGTCTTTTAGCTACTTTTTATGCATATGTATGTGTACTGTGCATGCAATATCAGAGGAAGCAGTTGAGTTTCCTGGAACTGCACCTACAAATTGTTGTGAACCACCATGTGGGTTTTGGGAACCAAACCTGGGTAGTCTGTAATAGCAGCAAAAGCTCTTGACCACAGACCCATGTCTCCAGCCTTCCTCCTGAGAATTTTATAGAATAATGGTAAATATTAAAGTGTACCTTTGTATATGACATATTTGTAATGAACTTTCTATAAAATACTGTGTTGCATTTGTAAACTGAAGTTTGGAAAATGTGTTCTCGGTGCTATGATCAAAGTTTTAAAACTCAGATGAAACAGTGGTTAATTATGATCACAATTGCTTAGTGATTATTAACTGTTTTCTTTTATATGAAATCTTATGTTTCACCTTCAGGTCATGCAGCAGTGTTTAGCAATTCAGATGTAGAAAAGACTGTGGTGATACCTGGATACAGCAGCTTCATGATCACACAAATTCTAGATGTGAAGAATGCTTTATCGCTGGCTACCATGCCTCACAAAATAACATCAACTTTACACTTCCCTGCAAGGACCTGGTACTTATACAACTTTAGCACATCTAATGGACGAGACTGGAGTATAAATTTAAGACCATGTAATTATTTGGTTCAACAAGATGAGCGTAATTTTATTTCCCCCAACGTGGTGAAGTATATTGATGTAGGACATGAAGAGAATTATGAACTTAAGGTGATGGCTAATACAAAAGGTAAGTTTGCTTTCATTGAAAAAGTAAAAAGGAGTTATTTCTTTTCTTAACTCTTAGAGATTTATTTTACCTTCCATCATTGCTAGGTCACTACTACCAACAGAGGTATGTTACAGTGAATGACTACATTGTAGGCTCTGTATTAAATGATTTATAGAAATTTTAATATTTATAGTCACCATAGAAGTCTAAATAATAATCGTTTTATAAGTGAGAAAATTAAGGTAAGTTAACAGTTGAAGCTTATATCAACTTTTGCATATACTTTCATTCTCCTTCTAAATGAAAACCTTTCCATTTCTCTGGTATGGCAATAGTTGTCTTGCTTTAAAAAAAATAGGTTTATTTTATTCTGTGTTTATGAGTGTTTTCCCTGCATGTGTCTGCACCATGTGTGTGTCCATGGAGGCTAGAGGAGGATATCAGTCCTCTGGAACTCTGTGACACTTATAAGATACCATGTGAGTGCTGGGAATCAAACCAAGTTCCTCTACAAGAACCACTGAGCCATCTCTCTAACTCCTATTTGAGGTATTTAATCCAAGCAAAAAAAAAATGGATTTTACATAAAATACTGTACTTTTTCTTGTATTTATTATAAAAGCTTGTGAAATGACACCCATAGCTAAACACTGAGATAAACTCTTGGAATCCAGTTGCAGACAAAGAGGAGTGATGAGCAAAGGGGTCAAGACCATGCTGGAGAAACCCATAGAAACTGCTGATCTGAACAAGGGGAAGCTCATGGACTCCAGTCTGATAGCTGGGAAACCAGCATAGGACCAACCCAGATACCCTGAATGTGGTGTTAGTTATGAGGACTGGGGCCTCTGGTAATGGATTAGTATTTATCCCTTGTATATGAATGGGCTTTGGCAGCCCATTCTACATAAAGGGGACTGTAACGAGTTTTTCTGCCTGCCGCCGAGACATGTGTGGGAGGACCTGGGCCCGGCCCCAAATGTTATGACAGACTTTAAAGACTTCCCATGGTAGGCCTCATTCTCCCTGGGGAGCAGAAAGAGGATGGGGTGGGTATTGGCGGGGGAGACAGGGGAGGGTGAGAGGGTGCAGGAACTGGGGGTGACATGTGAAACAAGCTTGTTTCAAATTTAAATAAAAAAATAATTAATTAAACACAAAGACAAAAAACGTGTGAAGCTAGGCTGACAAGCTGCCGTAGCATACTAGTGTGTTTTTCCCTGCGACTGTTACCTGAGAACCACAATCAAAACAGCAAAGGGAGAGAACTAGGAACCAAGTCCTCTGACCATCCCAAGAGCACATATAACCACATCAATATGCCACACACACACACACACACACACACACACACACACACACACGCACGCACGCGCACGCACGCACGCACGCACGCACACACACACATTATGCAATCACACAAATTAAATAAGTGAGCAAATAAGTAAATAAATAAAAGTACAATGATAATGATGACTGTGAGAGCTAATGAGATGGCTCAGCGGACATAAGCCCTTGCCGTGCAACTCAGACAACCCGAGTTTGACCACTAGATCCCACAACAGAGAGAGAGAATTGACTCTGAAAAGTGGTCCTCTGACCTGCACATGCCCGCCATGGCATCCATGTACCCACACTTGAACACACACACACACACACACATATCGCATACACACAATAATAATGAATTGGTAAATAATCACAATTTAAGAACTTATAAGAATGTGAAATATGTGAAACCAGGGCTATTGTTTCTCTTAAGTGATAGGATTTATTCAATCATTACAGATGCTAGCCAGCAAAGGACCAAGTATGGGGCAAATACTGGGCTAGATAACAATTGGAAAAAGAAAAGTATAAATTCTGTATAAATGCTGTACATTGAAACCACATAGATTATAGATATGAACAGTGAGAGAACTCACAGCAGGGGCAGTGTTGAGGTTAGATCTATCATCAACAAGAACTACTTGTTGCTTGAGTTTGCCAGACTTCCTTGCTGGTTGGAGTTAACGGTGTGGAAATTACTCGCATAAGCAGGACAGAGTTGCGCCTGCTGGCAACGATGAAGATGTAACTAAGGTCTAAATGTACATGCATGGCTCATCATTGCGAAAGAACTGCCAGTGTCAGGAGACACGAGTTGGTAGGAAAGAAGCAGGTTTATTGTGTGTGCTGAAGGAGGAGGGGCCAGTTCCTTAAAGCTCTGTCCTCCCAGGCTCAGAGCTCAGGAGGGTTCCTGTTGTCAGCTTGACAAATGAGAACTACCTGGGGGGGAAAAGGCCCCGGGTATGCTTGTGAGGGATGATCTTGATCACATTCACTGAGGTGCGAAGACCCATCTCAGGTGTAGTGGACCCTTTCACCTGCACTGTGTGAGGTGGAGCCAGCAGGCTGAGCACTGCGCGCAGTAGTGTGCCTTGGCTGTGGATGAAAGGCCCAGCTGCTTTAACTTGACTTCTGCACCAAGACAGACTGTACCGTGAACCCTGAGCTGAAACAAACTCTTCTTTCTGCACGCTGCTATGATCGGGGTTTCTATCGTAGCAACGGGGAAAGAGCTAAGACGGGGGCAAAGGATGATTGTCTGGGCAGAGGAGGAGCAGCGAGGCTCACAGGGCTTAGTAAGGAAGAGTCTTTGTCTTCTCCAGAATGTCTTAATGGAGTTTGACCCCCATACTGGTGTGCTAAGAAAGAACTAGACGTCTAACTGCGCCTAAAGAGATGAGTACTGTAGAAAAGCAGAAGACAGATGTGCAGTCATGGGGCACATTGAGAAGACAAATGGATGCAGAGGCCTCAGTCTGTCTTCAGAGTACTGGCATGTCTTAGGTTTCTATAGAGGAAGACTTGGAGCCATAGAAATAATCCAGCAATCTCAGTCAAGGTGTGGTCTGGTTGCTCATTCTCAGTCCTGGGCCTCCATGTTAACTCAGAGTTCTTACTGGTGCCAACCGGAAGAGACAACCCACTTCCTGTAAGATGATTGCTCCTGTTTGTGTGCACAGCTCCTGTTATTCCCAGGAAGGTCAGGTTTAGGACAATGATTGGGGATGGAGTTCTGAACAGCAGGTGGAAAGGCTGACAGAAAAATGCTTCAGTTACTCTTTCTTCAGCTTTGAAAGGGCCTGAGACAGGTTAGGTCCCCATAATAACATTCCCTGGAGATTCGTTAAAACTCTTGCAAGGTCAGGCGCCAACCCCTAGTGGCAGATGCCCCACTGAGTGTGAAACATACATTCTATCCCTGGGTGCAAGTGCCTTCTCCTCTTCCCGCTGGTTGGATATCACAGGAGGTGTAGGCTTTCCCCTCTGATATCAAAACTCCATCATCCCTCCTGCCCCCCTCTTCTCTCGCCATTCCTAGAATTCATTCTCTAATCCTGTTTTTCAGATGTTCAATCTTACAGGTCAGCTATTGTGAGAGTTGTCCTATGATGCAACTGTGCCAGCATCTGCTTTACTCATGCCCCACCCCTGGCCTCCTTTAGTGCATGCACTTAGTCGCGTGGTAGGCTGTCTGGAATTTTTATTTTATTTCATTTGTGTTTGTGAGGGTATATCGTTGCACACATGAACTACACTACATGTGTGGGGATCAGAGAACCATTTTCAGGAGTAAGGTCTCTCCATCTACACTGGGTACCCAGAATGGAGTTCAGGTAATCTATATTGTAAAGAGAAAGTGCTTTACCCCAACCCTGTATTGTTCCACTAGAGATAAACCTTAAAATAAGGGTCACTAAAAGGCAGACAAGCAGATGATGTGAGATCCGACATCTGCTGTTTCTCTGAAGCCCTACGACACATGTGTATTGAAAATGGACCATCATATTTTATTTCTTATAGTATTGCTAATTTGTATACACTCTAAATAATTAATGTGTACATACAAAATTAAGCAGGAGTTTGGTGATGTCAGACTTTTTTTTTTTTTTTTGAACTACCAACTTCCAAATAATGACTTGAAAACTATTTATTAATTGTGGATACTTGACCTTAACTTAGGCTTGTTCCCAACTACCTCTTATAACTTAAATTAACACATTATATTAATCTACCTTCTGCCTTGTGACTCCTTACCTCTCCTCTGTACCTATATCCGATTTCCTTAGTGTCAGGCTAGTGAATTCCATGCACCTCAGTATCTGCCCCAGAGTTCCTTTCTTGCCCTGGAAGTCCTGTGTATCTTTTCCTGCACAGTGATTGGCCATTCAGCTCTTCATTAAATGAATCAGGTGCATTAGGCAGGCAAGATAAACAGTGACACATCTTTACACAATGTGATTAAATATCCCCCAACAGTCTAGAGAAAAGTAAAGGGCAGATCTAAAATGAAGGTGTGAATGCTGGGCTTTTGTCTTTCTAGCTTCCTGGTAGCAAAATTAGTTTCATTATGTATGTATGTATAGTATATACTTATATAAAACTTTTTTCTTATTTTACATATCAATCCCATCTCCCTCACTCCCATGCCCACCATCCCCTCCCATCCCATCCCCCCCCCACAGGGAGGGTGATGCCTTCCAGGAGGGATCATCAAAATCTGTCAAGTCATTTGGAGTCGAGACTAGGCCCTCCCTCCTGCCTCTAGCCTAAGGGAGTATCCATCCATGGGGAACGTGCTCCCAAAGTCTGCAAAAGGAGTTTCTAGGTGCCTTATGGGACCTTGATGGGGAATGTTCTTCTGTGTATGCGTTTGTCTTATGGGTTGATGAATAAAACACTGATTGGCCAGGAAGGATGATGGGTAGGACTAGGAGACAAGGAGGATTCTGGAAAGTATAGGTAGAGAAGAGTCATCATGTGATAATAGGAAGTGGCATGGCTGGACAAAAACTGCAGCTAGCTAACCATAGAGGTCTGGAGGTATGTACAGACAGACAAGAAGTGACGTAGTGGGAGAATCAGGGTATAAGACAGGAAGTCCCTCTCTTCTTTTCTCTTTGGAGACCTTGAGCAGTCACCATGTAGGCTGTCGGAGGAGTAACGCCATGCTGGGCATAACTAGGTAAGCCCAGTTATGATAGAAATGGGTTAATTAAAGGCTAGATTTATGACCAATAGAGTCTTTTGGGACTGAGGTGGTCCTGGGACCAGGCTGGCAGGAAAGAATGCTCGTTACAGGACATCAAGTCAGAGATGTCAAACTTTTATCCCGTTTGAGTCAGTCTTCAGGTGTCTGCAAGTTCAAGTGAAGACTCGGTGCTTTTAGCAAAGCTTTTAAGGCCCCACAAAGTGGTGGGCAAACTGCTACAGCTCACAGAGCAGATCTCTCATCTACATAAAAACAAACATGAAGACCTAATGTATGACATCCAAAATTCATACTACCTTAATTTCTATAGCGACACTTATCTATTAAGAGGTAAGGGGCCCAGAGATCTTCGTCTTCTGTTCCCTGGTGGTCACTAATGGCTTCTATGTGGGTACAAATCCAATAAACAGTGCCAGGAGATAACAGAGTGAAGGAAGGGCTTTCTTCTTCCAGCAAGTAAGAATACACTGGGAATAATTTCCAAAGCAATTTCTCCCCAAGGGAAAAAATGCTTTAATTTATTTTCCTTTACTAAGAAAATGTATATGTACATCACATGTAAATGTTGGTAGATGAACTGAGTATACTCAGTTCAAGTTCATGCATTCCTCAAAAGAGGGAGTGGCAACTAGAAATTCAGCAAGGCCGTGAGCAAAGTTTACCCTAGGTTACCTAAAAAGAGTGAGTCAGAGAGACTGGGATGTTTTGTCTGATTCCTAAATTTCTCTGGAGGAGATGTTCCCAAACCAGTAACTCTCACCAACAGGTCCCTGATGGAGCCCCGGAAGGATGGCTCCTGTGGCTCTTTAGAGAACAAGTTCTAACCCAGCACACACAAACTTTGCAGGGGCATTAGTCATTTCAAGGGCATCCTCTTCCTCAGCTCCAGAGATGTAGGTAATTGTACCTACAAATACCTGCCTAGTACCAAACGTAACCAATAGTAAGTACCCAGTGACCTTGCCATTCATTTGAGAACCTGGAAGAGAAATGAGGAATAGAAGGGAAAATACATTTTCTGAGGGAAATATCTGTGAAGGTGAATTTTACTAAGAACTATTAAGTTGCCAATCATTTTCAGTGGTTTTTACAATTTTCATTATGTAATGTTAGCTGTTGACACTGTCTCCACAGGTATGAGAGTACTTCATGTCCCACCAGTCAGTGTGGTTGTTGGAAACCCAGCGTTACTGGAAGTTAAGACAGAAGGCTATTTTGACATCACTGATAGCTACCATATGAAGGTTCACATAGCTAGCAAATTTTTCCGAAAAGTAAGAAGGTATTTTTAATTACAAAACTATCCATTAGATATAGAAAATATAGAAGAGTAGCTATGACAGACCCACAACCCTTGCATCAAGGGTACGTAACTGCACTTTGCATGTGTGGTACATTACAACACGGGGGGGGTGGCAAAGGTTAGAAACATGAGGTCTAGGCAGGAGCTGCACACTTTAATCTGAGCATGCTGGAGGCAGGAACAGGCAGAGACACCCGAGAGTTTGACGCCAGCCTGGGCTATAGAGTCCCGGGCCAGCCTGGGCTACACAGTAAGAGGCTCACAAAAGAGTAAGAAACAAAAGCGTTTATGTTTTTGCATTTTAGCCCTCTCTTCTCATTCTGTCTTTGGCGTCCCCTTCAGTGTTAGTCAGAGTTCCTCTCTTGCCCTTTCCTGCCCCTCCACATCAGGTTTTCCTTCCTTTCCCTTCTTTTCCTTCCTTTCCCATCCCATACTCTTCCTGTGGCAGGTTTTACCTTAAATGTTTGAACCTCAAACCTCACTCCACACTTTTGTCCACTTTATTTTATATGGTTATTGATAGTATGGACTTGGCTGTAATATATTTTATCTCTATACCTGATTTAGTTGGGTAATGCTATTCCTGTTTCAGTTGATTTCCCCGTCCCTGGGGGATGCTAGTGTTCTGATGGTCAGCTTTAACTACCAACCTCACATAATCTACAGTCACCTGGGAAAGGGGAAGGTGTCTCAAAGAGCTTGTCTAGGTTAGGTGGGCCTATGAGCATGCCTAAGAAAACTTTTGTTAATTAGGTTAACAGAGGTGGCAATCCCCACCCTGGATATTAGAAAAGAGAGAAACAATATTAACAAACTTCAAGACAAAAACACTAGGGGTTGGGAGTGTGGCTCCATTGGTAAAGTGCTTGTCTGGCATGCATGAAGCCCAGGGTTACATGCCTGCACCACATACACCAGGTATGTTAATGCATACTCATAGTCCCAGAACTTGAAAGGTAGAGACAGGAGAAAAGAATCAACTTGTGCAAGTTGTCCTCTGATCTGTACCACACATGCACACACACACACACACACACACACACACACACACACACACACACAAATAAATGTAAGAAAAAACTAACAAACAAAACATGAGACTACCTCAGTCAGTCTGTTCAGGGGTTTCAAACGCCTGATTTAACGTGTTTTGTTTCTCTACTCTTTTCCTTTGGCTGACTTGCTATAACGCTTAATAAACACATATGGTACCCCTACCATAGATCACTCTCTGGATCATTAAAAGCAATGTATTTGAGGTGTTTGGGGTTTCTAAGCATCATATTCTGATGTTTCCAGGGATCCACTTCACTAGCAGTGGTTGTGTGGGAATCAGCAACTCAGTGCTCTGTTACTACACTGGTGCCAACCATGAAGAGCAGTTGCAGCTACCTCAGGACCATGCACCACATTCCTGGCCGACACATACCTCCTGAAGACTGGATTAGTGGAGTTCACAAGGACAGCCAGGGTTTCAATATGATCAAAACTCTGCCAGTAAGAAATGTCGCTATGCCACCTTTAAGAGAACAAGTGATACATTTCTCCCGTGTGCTACCATGGCCATTGTGTGGCAGCATTTGTGCATCGTTTTCAAATTGTGGGTCGGTCTGAGAGCATGATGGTGACGACCCATTTCTAAACTGTGAAAACCTTGTGACATAATTGTGTTTCTAACCAACCTCTCTCATCACCATTAGTCTAATTAATCTAATTAATGATGATGGTATAATCTTGGGCTTTTGTGATACATGCAATGTGTCTTAAAATGTGACTTAAAATGACTTGTCTCAAACAATGCATCTGATTGCACTTCTCTTTGGGTGGGTTTAGGTTTGGTTATTTTTGTTTGTTTGTTTCTGTTTCCCCCCCCCCCCAGGTAAAGTCTCAAAATGTTGAACTTGAACTTTTGATTTCTCCTATGCACAATCACATTTCAATTGATTTTTCACTTGGATATTGAGATCCAAATTCAGGTCCTCACACTTGAGTAGCAGACACTACCAGCTGAGCCATGTGATCAGCCATTTTTGTTGTGTTTCATTTATTTGGGGATTCTGTGGCTATTTTAAAACAACAACAAAAAAAGATAATGTATTACTTTTAGTTTTGTGACAGAAAAAAAACCAATAAAACTTGAAGGTGTGTTCTGAAGGCATCACTGAGCCTCTATCAAAAATGCTTGGACACACCTGCATTGATTTTATGACAGCTGTTTTAAGTAGGAAAAGGCATTTTCTCCCCCTTACACATTCCAGATTACACCATCACAGGGTAAGGTCTTTGAACCTACAGAATCTTAGGAATGGGACTACTGAAAAGGGGAAGCTAACTGTAATACCTAGAACTCATGCAAAATATTTGCACCGAACAGTTGTCTGGAAACAAAATACTTATGCCTTGGCGAATCATAACACATGGCCCTCTTTCTTTGTTTAATCACTTGCAGATAAACTACAGACCTCCGTCTAATATGGGGATTTCTATTCCACTCACAGATAATTATTATCATGCAGACCCTAGCAAACCGGTACCAAGAAATCTATTTCACAAGTCAAAGGTAAGTAATTTATCTATAAGTGACGTAATGCAGTGTTTGTTTTATATTTAAGAAGGCACGGTGCCGATGAGATGCATGAGCTAAGAAAGGCACTTGCCATCAAGTCTAATCCCCAGAAAGTAGAAGGAAAGAATTGACTCCTGATGGTTTGCTCTGAAATCCACCCACTCCGTGACATATGTCACACACACACACACACACACACACACACACACACACACACACACACACACACGAGTGAGAGAATTTCCTTTTGTAAGTGAAATGTTAATGTGGTTTGTGAGGTTCATCGTTCAAATTTCAGGGTGAGATGGAATGCTACGATAGTTCAACTCAGAGGTCATGTGAGTTCTGGCCCTGAGCACACATAGCCCACTTGCTTCAATAATCTGGTGTGACAGATTACTCAGAAAAGGGATTAGTGTCTCTGGACAAAATTCATATAAAGAGGTTTCATTTTTTCAGATGTGTTGAAGTCCGTGGTGCTAAGCAAAAGAGAAACGCGGATTAGGTTATGGGGTGGGACCTCCTGCTCCCTGTCCCCTGGGTTTTCTCTGTCTTTGCACCAAGCTTCAGCATGGCTGCCCCAGCTCCCTCTTCCGAGCCATGTTGGCCCCTTTTCTGTTTCCCTGGTATGTTTCACCTCAGGACTTTGCAGCTACAGAAAAGATGCCACACCTCACTGTCACCTTTGCCAGGAGCTTGCTGTAATGCTCTGCTCCTAGAGGGGACTTCCCTGACCTCTACCTTCCCAGGTTCCCTATCACCTCAGATTTCCTCCATGTCATCTATTACTACTTTATACACTTTTCTCATTCCTTTTATTTCTGTGTCCTTCTGACCCCACAAGGAAGAAAGTTCGTAAAACAAGACTGACTTCAGTTTGGTTTCCTTTTCTCCTGATACTGACAGTCAAGGCAAAGCTTTGCACATGCTACTCAGGGTTTTGCTTGGTTTCATGACCTGTTCCTACAATATCCACAGTTGCCCAATGAGCACCAGACAAAAGAGTGTTCAGAAATTGTTGAACAAGTGTGTCATGATGGTGCACACAGATATAATTTCAGCAGTTCAGGAGCCCTAGTCAGGAGCATTGGGAGCTTGAGGTCAGCCTAGGTAATATAGTCAGTCTGAGGCCCCCTTTAGTTACATTGATAGACACTGTTTCAAACAAAAAACAAGAGTTGAACAAATAAAAATTCACATTGTATATGCACAAAATATTCAGAGGTTAACACTGTGGTGATATATTATTTATGATTTATTAAAGCTTGACTGAGGATTCAGAAAACATAAAAGCTATGGAAAGCAAAGAAGCTATAGAACAAGCAAGGTATAGAAGCCAGACCGTGGTGGTCCACGATTCTCCAGCCATGCTAAGAGGCAGTAGTCTGAGGTTTGCTGAACCAAGTTAGCATTTTAGTCTGAGGTGGAGCTTTAATGAATCACAAATAATGTATCACCATGTAACCCACTTCTTGCTGAATCTTGGATTTAAAGGCAAGGAATTCTGTTTCAATCAGTGAACCCCTAATATACTAGTTCTCCAACTCCATTTTTCCAAAGATAAAACCTGTTTTATCTTTAACCATTACCTCTAGAGACATAAGATTTTTTTTTTTTTTTGCATGTACATCTTTACTTTCCTGGGGTTCCCCACACCATGATTTCCCTGTGTATAAAATAAGAAATATATTCAATTCACATCAAGTAACTAAGAGTTAGAGTTGGCCCTTTGTTTATTTTGTTTTGTATTGTTGAGCAAGGTCTTGCTGTATAGTTCAGGCTAGCTCATACTTGCTATGTAGTCCAGGCTACGTAGTCCAGATCATCAAAGAGATGATCCAAAGAACTGAGTTTGCTGACATGTGAAGAAAGTTTTTCATAAAGGATTTGGGGGATGTGACAGTTGTACATGTCAGCACTTTGGTGTTATCAGACACTTGTCCGCATTCTCTAAGTTACAGCCTTGCACATGCATACTACATGGGATCTTCATGGACTTTCCTGCTACTCAGAGAAAATCACTATGAAATGAAAAGTCACAGAAAGGAAGTTGTGTCTTTGTGTGCAGTGTTTCTGAACAGAATATCCATGTATAAGTGGAAAGGATTGCTGTTCCATTACATCACAGATATTGTTGCATTACAATATATCCATAACCTCACCTCCTGGGCAAGCACTATATGCAGATCTATAGCCTCGGTGCCTCTTATTTTATCACTAATGAATTTTCTTCTCTTGACTTCTTGGGATTTTATTCAGATAATAAATATTTCCCAAACATTTAATTTAGAAAAACTCCAAATTATGAAAACAAGTCAACCTGTGTTATTTCTGTCTACAGGAAACTGGCAAATACAAGCAATGTGCTCACGCTAGGAATCGGGAAATGTGCAACTGCACAGAACATCAAAAGTTCTCCCATGCTGTCGCTTTCTCAGATTGCAAAGAAAAGGTAAGACAGTTTGTTAGTACCTGATGATGGGGTAATTTCCTATTCCCATGACTGGAAAGGTGCTTTTTAGATAAACTCAAAAACTCAGACAAGGGGCCTAGAGGCATGGTTGAGGATAAGAGCACTTGTTGCTTTTGCTGAGGACACAGGTTCAATTCCCAGCACCCACAGGCAGCTCACAGCCTTCTATAACTCCAGTCCTAGAGGGTCGAAAGTCCTCTTCAGGCTTCCGCTGGCACTGTATGGACACAGCTTAGAGACAAACTGCAGGCAAAAATCCCATATACATAAGAACAAGTCTTTAAAAGATAATAATAATTAAATCTCACATGGGGAAATAATGTCTATTATGACACAGAACTAAATATGACACAGCTAAAAGACCTAACTTTCGTAGCTAGAAGATGTAAGTAGATTTAACCCTGAGTAAAACAGAAATACTTGCTCTGACCTCTTCATTCTATGCAATGCATATAAAGACATACGTGTAGACACACATGTATGAGACAACAATTTGTAATTGCTGAAGCACAATACCATATAGTGGTCATCTGATTCATAACAAAGATCTGCAGATAGTTATGTCCATGTTCTTGGGAATAAAAGTTAAAGTCTGTAATCCAGAGTTCAGTCTAGCAGTAATCACAAATAAAGCCAATTTAAGAGGTGGGGGGGGGCTAACTCAGAGGACAAGGTGTTTCCTATACATGCATGGAGACAACACCTCAGATGCCCAGCACCCGCAGAAAGCTGGATGAGTTTGCCGGCCCACCTTACCCTCTCTCCCACCCTTACAAAACCACTGACCTCCCTCCTATCCCATCCCTACCCCCCCCCCCCGCACATATAGGGCGATGCCTTTCAGAAGGGGTCATTTAAATCTGTCAAGTCATTTGGAGTAGAGACTAGGCCTTCTCTCCTCTAGGTTAAGGGAGTACACCATTTTTTAATAGGGTTATTTGGTGTTTTGTTGACTAGTTTCTTGAGTTCTTCGTATATTTTGGAGAACAGCCTTCTATCAGATGTATGATTGCTGAAGATCTTTTCCCAGTCTGTGGGCTGCTGTTTGGTCTTGTCTATTGTGCCCGCCCTTTGCCTTACAGAAGCTTCTAAGTTTGAGGAGGTCCCATTTATTAATTGTCGATCTCAGTGTCTGTGCTACTGGAGTTATGTTCAGGAAGCAGTCTCCTATACCAATTTGTTCAAGGGCACCTCTCACTTTCTCTTCTAAGAGGTTCAGTGTGGCTGGATTGATATTGAGGTCTTTGACCCATTTGGACTTGAGTTTTGTGCATGGCGACAGACATGGGTCTATCCGCAGTCTTCTACACACCATCATCCAGTTGTGCCAGAACCATTTGTTGAAGATGCTTTCCTCCTCCCATTACAATCACATTTTTTACAGATGTAGGAAAACAATACAAAAATCCATAGATAAGCTCAAATACTCTCAAATAGCCAAGGCATCTTAAGCAAAAAGACCAGAGATGGGGGAGCCATTGTAGGTTTGAAGAGAAAACTGACTCTAGAGAAATATCCAGAGACCTAAAAGGATGACCCCAACTAACAATCTGAGCAACAGTGGAGAGGCTGCCTTAAATGCCCTTCCCTGATAATGAGATTCATAACTAAGTTATATGCCATAGTAGAGCCCTCATACAGAAGCTGATGGAAACAGAAGCAGACACCCACAGCTAAACACTGAGCCAAACTCCTGGAATCCAGATGCAGAGAGGGAGGAGTGATAACGAAAGGGGTCAAGACCATGCTACAGAACCCACAGAGACAGCTGACTTGAACAAAGGGAGCTCATTGACCCCCAGACTGATGGCTGGGAAACCAGCATTGTACCAACTCAGACCCCCTGAACATGGGTCTCAGTTAGAAGGCCTGGGCAGTCTAAGGGACCTCTGACAGTGGAACCAGGATGTATCCCTGGTGCACAAAAGGACTTTGGGAGCATATTCCCCTTGGACGGGTATTCCCTTAGCCTAGAGGCAGGATGGAGGTCCTAGTCCCTACTCCAAATGACTTGACAGATTGTGATGATGCCTCCTGGAAGGCACGACCCTACATGTGGAGTGTGGAGGAGAATGGGATGGGAGGGGATTCAGAGGGCATGGGAGGGAGAGAGGGATAGGAAACTGGGATCAATAAGTAAAATAAGAAAAAAACATATATATATATATATATGTGTGTGTGTGTGTGTGTGTGTGTGTGTGTGTGTGTATTACATATCAGAGATGGAAAGATCACAATCCCTGACCTCAACTTATACTAAAATCAGTATTGATGAGATGGCTCAGGGGATGTGATCATCTATTAACATTTCTCACCAAGTCCGGCAATCTGAGTCCGTCTCTGGGATCTACATGAGAGAAAAAAAGATTTTACTTCTCCAAGTTGTCCTCTGACCTCCACATGCACTCAGTGACACAGGAGCACTTGGGCACTTACACACACATGCAGACACACACAATATAATAATAATAATAATAATAATAATAATAATAAATTAATTTAACTTTATGTAACTTGTAAGAATACCATGTGACCCAGCTGTGCCACTGCTGGATATACCCAAAGAAAAAAATTTAGTCACTATACCACCAGAGATGCATGCCCACATGTTTATTGCTGCAGTACTCACAATAACTAGGAAATGAAACCATTCTGAATGCCGATCCAAATGTAGATAAACAATATGTTGTACAAATATATTGTCCAGCCATAAAGAAACAATAAATCATGACATTTTCAGGAAGATGGATATGACCCTGAAGTATAATGATAGTTATAGAAGAAAATTCCATGATAATTATGCATATATATACATATATGTGTATATATGTGTGCATAGATAGATAGATAGATAGATAGATAGATAGATAGATAGATAGAAAAATCCACAATGACACCTATCACTTTGTAGTCTAACTTTAAACATGATCTCTAAAAGTTATGAATCTCATTACCATGTTTGCTGTCTTGGAATTTGCATAGATTTTGTTGTGGTAGATGTTTCATGCCTGAAAGGCAGAGACCCTAAGAAGTATTCCACTCAAGATTCTGTGAAAATGTCATTCATTTCTTGACCAGGAATGATGGTATTGAATTTTACAGATTACATATATTCATAGAATTTGTATTTTAGGTTCATCGTTTCAAGTTTCCAGTCATACAATACCCAGTTGTTTTGGAAATTATTGATGAAAAAGAAAAAATATCCGTAAAACCTCCATATTTGGTTACCATGACTGAAGTGAATAGGAGGCAAAACTGGCAACTAAGTATGACTTTCTGTCTTCTATGCTTATCTTACAAGCCATTATATTATTACTGTTTTGTTTTTGGCTTTAATGAGGGAGTGCAAAGTTCCCATGTTCCCTGATATCTGTGGTATTCTGGTGGCTCTTACCACATTTGGAGAATTGATAAGCTGATTCTTAGACTGTAAGTTGGCCATGGCGAGTGCATTCCCAATGGAAATTAGCTAAGGAGACAGTCGGGCTTGAATTATTTTCTTTAGCTCCTCTCACCATCACACCACTAGAGTTTATAACACCTACATAGGCTCACTTGTATAGAAAGAATGACAACGTAGGTGGGAAGACTTGCTTACTTCCCCTGGAGAAGCCTTAAGTAATCCTGTTTTGCAACTCTACTGCATCTTAGGAAAATCATTTACCTACCACTATGAAAAATGCAAAGCATGACCTTTCTGGATAGGTTTCTCATGAGTCAGAGGCTAGAAAGAACTGAAACTTCAGCAAGGTGGTCAGATGCTTTCTTCATCTTGAGGAGGGCATCGGAGCAATGTGAGACTGTTAGTCTAATTCCCCCTGAAGAGCAGCGAGGATGTAGTTTGGTGGTAGAGTGTCGTCTACTGTGAACGAGAAACTGGAGTTCAATCCCTAGCACCAGAAATTTTTAATTTACTTTTTTATGAATATGGATGTTTTGCTTACATGTCTGTGCATCACTTGCATGCCTGGCACCCTCAGTGGATAGAGGAAGCCATCAGGTCCCTAGAATTGGAGTTACAGATGATTGGGAATTGCTATGTCGGTGTTGAGACTCAAATGCAGGTCCTCTACAACAGCAGTCAATGCTTTTAACCATTGAACCATCTCTCCAGCCCCTAACTCCAGAAACTTCATAAAAATAGTCAATTCTCCCATGAGCCCATACCGCACTTGGATGTGTCTTTATTTTCTGTAACTCTTTGAGATGTTCATACCCATGCTTTAGGGTTTATAATTTGTTTTCTTCTGAGTGTATCTTTTTCTCTCTTAGCCTTTCTGCTTAAACCTATATTACAGTATCTTTAGTAAAACTGAACTCTAAAGGTACTTAAAAGCCAAACATTAGTAACCTTAGTAATATTACACAATAGATTCTTCCACTGTACCTTACTGTATATAACAACTTTTAGGCAAAATATGAAAATTTAAGTGTGCTGTAAATGTACTTTGTATATTTCAGAACACAATATGCCAGAAAATGTTAAGAAAATGAAGGATTACTTAGAGCCAAGGCTTAAGACTCCAGTGTATAATCCTTTTGGTCTCAACCTAAGTATAAGGGTGAGTAGACAGCATTTTCCTTTTTACCATGTACAGTTTAGAGGAAATTATGTATATGCTAGGATTTAAAGTTCAAATTTTGATGAATGGTGGGAACCTTGAAGCTTTAAAGAATATAGAAAAGGTTTAATTTTTTTTCTCTATTCCCTGGTTGTCCTGTTTCTAAAGGAATCTGAATGTTGAACAGAACATTAATTTAATATTTTTTAAGAGACAGGCCAGATCAATTTGTTAAAGGGAACTAGAACAGTCCTTTCCAGAAGTTAGGGATCTCATGGATGTGTAAAGCACAGGTAAGTGTGAAAAACAATGAAAATGCAGATACATGTTAAAGCCACAGATATGACGTCTAAATAAAAGTGTTCATGACAACCAAACTGTGTTATGTTTTAGTTTCATTCTGAAATAAAACTTCATCATGGAGTTCCTGCTTTAATACCTCTTCATTTTGTATGTGATGTTCATGTCAAAGGCCTTGGCATCTTTATAAATGGCATCTATGAAAGTGGCTCCCATTGATATTTTTGTTTAAAGGAATACACACATTGGTAATGTCCATCTGTGTTTGTTCCACAGGGCTCTGAGCTATTTCACTTCAAGGTGTCTGTGATTTCTGGGGTCACCTTTTGTGACTTACATGAAGAATTTCAGGTATAGTAAGGACATAAAATATGAAATGAGATGGTGACTGAGAAAATGATGCAACTGTCAATCCAAGTTATGGCTAAAGATAAAAACATGGGCAGAATCTATGTGCAGGATAAGGCTTGGACAGGGTGTGGTCGAGAATGAGAGTGTGGAGGTAGAGGATGCTGAATGTCCACAAAATTCTGGATGGAATTTTTCTGTGTGGTTAATTGTGGGGATCATGCAATGTGGTTTGCATTACCACATCCAGATAAGGTAACCACTTTGCTTTTTCTTTTCAGATTTATGTCGATGAAGTACCATTGCCTTTTCCAGGACATATACTAATTGCTGTTGCAGCATCTGTAGTGCTAGGGGGATTAATTTTTGTAGCATTTATATTCCAAATGCGCAACATCCACCCATTGAGAGCATTCCGGAAATATGTTAGAAAAAGCACTGCACACCCATCAAATACAACTATCAGCTCATAAGTGAAAGTCTGCATAGTGAACAAATTATAATCATCAATTATCTATATTTTCTAGTTCCATTAAACATGTCCACACGATACATTTATGTTTTTAAAATACATATTAGGTACAATGTTATAGGATTATTATACTATTATAATTCTAGTTGTTGTAGGTTGAAAATTCCACATTCCATTTTCTTATTTTTAATTCATAGAAAATTATTTTGGCACTTACATAGGTTTTGTGTTTTCTGGTTTTTAGATTCTTTTGTAAAATATAAAATGAAAATCAATTCTCTGTGTAACGGGTTTTCTGCATTATTCAGCTCTTATGATCTACAATCCATTTGGTAGGGCCAGGGTTCTAAACAGAATAGTGGTACAAAGAGGGCGCCAATACACCATGGGTCAGGCAAGGAGAGGCTAGTCAGGGAATATGTTTTCAGAACCTTGTAGGAAACTTAAAAAAGAAGAAGTCATTCAGGTTTCTTAAAAAAAAAGGCCAGACTGGTTTGTGGCCCCAATAAGAGGGGAAGGTGACTTCATCATGGAGTCCTTGAAGAATATAGTGATTGAGCCAGGTGTTGGTTTCAAACATGCAGCGCACAGAACTCCAAAGGGTGCACCTCTATGTGCTATGGGTGAACTTGTCCCCAGCATCCGGAAAGTGGTGGCTACACCCAGGTATCAGACCTGGCATAGCTGGAGGAGGTTTGTGAGGGAGGACAGTGCTATGGGTTCATTTGGTCATGGAGGGGGGACAGAGTGGACTACTCAGAAGTGGTCAGCCTTTCAGGGACTGTGAAGTTTACGATCAGAGGCATTCCCTTGTTTTATAATCACCTCTTACTAAGCAAAGTAAGATTATCATGAATGAGAGGAGATCTCAGAGCCCCAAGTGTCACAGGCACTCACTAAGCAGAAAAGCTTAAGGCAATCTTGGGGCTGGAGTGATGTCCCAGTGGCTTAGAGCACTTGTTCTTGCAGACAGTGTGGGATGAATTTCAGCACCCATAGTAGCTCACAACCATCTGTTGCCTCTCTATCCTATGCATCCCTCACGGCTTGTCTCAGCTGTTTTCTCATCACTGTGAAGAAGAAACTTTTCCCTGGGCTCAGAGTTCCCTAGAATATTCTGGCATGTTAGGGAAAACATGGTGGTGAAATTTAATACTGTCCGTGTTGACTGGAGAAAAAAAGCAGCTGGTAATATCAACAGACATGTAATAGAAAGTTAACCAGAAGTGTATTCTAGCTATAAGCTGATACCTTGTCCACCAGCAGAGCCCTAAGTCCAAACATTTCCACTGCTTCCGAAACAATTAGATAATTGAAGACCAATTATCAAATACTGACCTTTGAGTGACCTTCACAACATAATCCAAATCATCATTAAGTAGATGAGTGGCCCCACTTGGCCTCAAATATTTTGTGTTCTTTCATTGCACTCAGTAACATGCATTTTGCATTGGAAAATCACTTAGAACCATCCTGATTTTGGGGATCAAGCTTTAGGCTGAAGATCAGAGAAGCAAAGCAGCCAGCCACTAGCTCTTTCCTCTACCTCGGGCTGAAATAGCAATCCTGTCTCCACCAAGCCTCAGACTGCAATCCCAGACTGCTGCCTCTCCTCAACATGGCTGGAGACAGATTGTCCTACAAGACCCTTAAGTTCTTCCTTTTATACCCCCTTAGTGCTGGGATTAAAGGCATGCGATCCCAAGTGCTGAGACCACCTTTGGGTGAGCTGTTTCTAGTTAGTGGATCAATTTAGTGTAACTTAGTGTGGCCTTGAACTAAAAGAGATTCATCTGCTTGTCTCTTGAGTCCTGGGACTAAAGGTGTGTAACACTACTACCTACCTTCTATAGCTAACTAGTATGGCTGCTTGGGGTTGTTGGTGGTGGTTCTTTTTGTGTGTGGGAGTGAGCTTGGCTTGCTATTGGACTCAGACAGATTTTTTTAATACATATATGTAAAAATAAAGTGACAAGACTGTATCCCAGAGGAAGTCTCCTAGCCCACCAGAGTCCAGGCCAGCATCCTGAACCCCAAGTTCTAGAAGCCCTGGCAAAGTGAGGAGCTGGAAAACTGTAAGAGGGAGAAGGAGAAGGCAAACAAAGGCATCAGTCTCCTACCCCACTACTAAACAGACTGCTCCAGCAGATGCCACACACCCAACAGCACACATAAATTGAACTCTGGGTTTTTAGCCGGGAGGACTCAGTTTTCTTTAAGGGGCTGACCACTGGGAATTTGGCCATGCTCCAGCTCCTCCTCCTGATTTCCTCCTTTTTTTTTTTTTTTCCTTAGGGGCAGTCACAAAGGTTGGGGCGCATATCTGGGAGGACAGGGAAGTTAGTGTGCTCGAGAGCATTATGTGACCTTCCCAAAGAATCAATAAAAATATTGTGTTGGAAAAAAATGACAAATTTAACCCTAGAGAGAGTGGCACTATTAGGGGGTGTGGCCTTATTAAAGTAGGTGTGATCTTATTGGAGGAGTTGTGTCACTGTGAAGGCGGGCTTTGAGGTCTCGTTTATGCTGGAGCCATGTCTGGTGAGACAGTCCACTTCCTGTAGCAGCTCCTTCTGCAGCACTATGTCTGCCTGTACACCGCCATGCTCCCACCATGATGATAATGTAAGCTGTCACCTCAATTAAATATTTTCTTTGTAAGAGTTACCATAGTCATGGTGTCTCTTCACAGCCTAACTAAGAGTGAATATACCCATATTCTACATCATAAATTATTATTAAAGTTTACATAACATAAAGAAACATGATAGATAGAGAGATAGATAGATATTACTTTTGAAAATATCTCTTTTCATTGATGGAAATTTTAGAAATAATGTCAATATTTTTTAAAAAGTGAAACGAAACAAAATACTGGGCTGTTTTGGCTAATATAAGGTAGACTAAAGGGGCCTCTCCTTCCTGCACCGGACAATGTGCCCACTGAGTACTACAGAGGCACAAGCTAAAGCTCATATCACTTCATATCACTCTCCTATGAATCCTTCCTCCCTGCATTAGCTGTTCAGATTCCCTAGCACATGATGCTGATGACACCCAGTGGCAAACCAGAGAAAGCAGCCCATAAATAAACAGCGTTTAATCCAGACACAATTAACATTTGACATCAAATATTATTTTCAATCTCTGCAAAGTGCTATCCTTTCCTTGGGCTGGTACTGTACCATCAAAAATGCTATTAATGAACTGGACCCTGTCACTGGCTTCCTTACCATGCCTTTGTAGCAAAAAAGTATTGTTGGTTTGAAATATGTAACTGTAGTTGAGATTTTTCAATTCACCCATGTGCAAGGTATTTATATACTGATTTCCACCTATATGACCATACTAAAAACTCCTATGGAAGTATTCTCTGTTATCTATAACAACTCCCTGAATAATTTATTTAGTCTGCTTATATCAAGAGATGTCTTTTTCTTATTAATTACTGCAATGACCACAAGCTTTCACAAGTCTCCAAGTTCGTACAAGAGGAAGCCATCCATAGTTAGGTAGTTCAGAAACCAAGTAAAATCCCTGGTGATACATGAATTCGTCTTCATATTCATTGTAAACAGGGTAAGCATGCACAGCAGGCATCTATTCCAGTGCCACATACTCAGGAACTTCTGAGACAGAAAGAAGTGTGCAGATACAATCAATTCCAAAGCAATGGCATTGAATTTCTCTTCCAAATGTGATTTTCCCACCAATACACACCAAAAACACATGATGTGTTCTTGACACAAGAACAAACATTTGCTGACATTGAACTGACTGAATCAGAGTCCAATTCTATGAGCAAACTCAATAATATATCTTTACTCCATGGTCCTTTGTAATTATATGTCATGTCTTGCATTAATAGATTATTGTTAGATAACCCCCAAATCCAAATTCAGAAGCAATGCATCAACAAATTGCATGCCATCTTTTTTAATTATCTTTAAATGATTCCTGTATTACTGTACTGTCTGGTTTTGTGTGTCAACTCGACACAAACTATAGTCATCAGAGAGGAAGGAGCCACAGTTGAGGAAATGCCTCCATGAGATCCAGCTGAAAGGCATTATTTTTTTAGTAGTAATCAATGGAGGAGGGCCCAGCCATTGTGGGTGGTTCCACTCCAGGGATGGTGGTCCTGAGTTCTCTAAGAAGGTGGGTGAGCAAGCAAGAGGAAACAATTGGAAGAAAAGAAGAGTAAACGCCAGAGTAAGAATACATTCAACAACTGAAAGAACAATATGGTAGCACCAGAACCCAGTGATCTTACAACAGCAAAACCTGAACATTCTGATGCAGCTGAAAGACAAGAAAATGAATTTAAAATTGCCTTATGAAGATGATAGGGGTTCTTAAAAAGGAAATGAAAAATTCCCTTAAAGAAGTCCAGGAAAAGACAAAAAAAAATGGGAAGAAATCAATAAATCCCTTAAAGAAAGCCAAGAATAAAATAGTCAAATAGGGGAAGGAAATGGTTCAAGACTTGAAAACTGAAATAAAAACAATAAATAAAACACAAACAAAGGGAATTTTGTAAATAAAAAAATCTGGGAAAGTGAACAGAAACTACAGATGCAAGCATCACCGACAGAATACAAGACTTGGAATCGAGAACCTCAAGCATTGAAGACACAATAGAGGAAAGATTTAGCAGTCAATTTAAATCCAATAAATTCCTAACACAAAACACCCAGGATATCTGAGACACCGTGAAAAGACCAAATCTAAAAATAATAGGGATAGAAGAAGGAGAAGAATCCCAGCTCAAATGCACAGAAAACATATTTAACAAAATCATAGAAGAAAATTTTCCCAACCTAAAGAAGGGCATGCTTATAAAAGTCCAAGCAGTTTACAGAACACCAAATAGGCTTGACCAAAAATAAAAGTAGCTTCACCACATAATAATCAAAACACTAAACATACAGAATAAAGAAAGAATACTAAGAGCTGCAAAGTAAAAAGGCCAAGTAGCGTAGAAAGACAGACCTATGAGAATTATAATTGACATCTCAATGGAGACTCTAAAAGCCAGAAGGTCCTGGACAGATGTTTTACAGACATTCAGGGACCCTGGGTGTCAGCCCAGACTACTCTACCCAACAAAACTTTCAATCAACAAGGATGGAGAAAACAAGATATTTCATGGCAAGGTCAGATTTAAACAATACTTATCCACAAATCCAGCACTACAGAAAGTATTAGAAGGAAAACTCCAACCCAAGGAATTTAGTTACATCCACAAAAACACAGGCATTAGATAAACTCACAACAGCAAATCCCAAATAAGGGAAACACACATACTACCATTGCCACCACACACACACAAAAAAAAAAAAAAATCAGGAATTAACAATCACTGGTCAATAACATCTCTTAATATCAATGGACTCAATTCACCAATAAAAAAGACACAGGTATAGCATGAAAAATACAAGACCTAGAGATAGGCATTGGGGCTCAAGCTTCAAGCTGAAGATCAGAGAAATAAAGCAGCCAAGTCAGTAGAACTTACCCTTACCCAGCTGAAATGGCAATCCTGTCTCCAGGAATCCTCAGAGGCAAAGGGCTCCCAGCTCCTGATTCCTCCCCTTTTTATTCCTTTCTCCAAGCAACCCTATCACTGCTGTCTCCACCTCCCTAGTGCTGGGATTAAAAGTGTGTGATCCCAGGTGCTGAAATCACCTTTGTGTAGGATGTTTCTTTTAAGACTATTTCAATTTTGTGTAGTCACTGTGGCCTTGAGCTAACAGAAATCCATCTACCTCTTAATCCTGAGTCCTGAGATTAAAGGGAGTACCACCACTGCCTGATCTCTATAGCTCATAGCAGACTTTGCCTTATGAATCCTCAGGCAAACTTTAATAAATCATAAATAATGTATCACCAAAGTTCCCTTTTTTGTCTAATACAAAAAGAAGGCTACAACTAACATAAGAAAACTATGTACAGAGAGCTGGTGGCAGTGATTGTGGTGTTGATCGGCTGAGAGCAAATTAAAAATGGGTGATGCTGAGAAAGGCAAGAAGATTTTTGTTCAGAAGTGTGCCCAGTGCCACACCGTGGAAAAGGGACCAAATCTCCTTGGTCTGTTTGAGAGGAAGACAGGTCAAGCTGCTGGACTCTCATACACAGATGCCAACAAGAACAAAGTTATCACCTGGGGAGAGGATACCCTGATGAAGTATTTGGAGAATCCCAAAAAGTACATCCCTGGAACAAAATTGATCTTCACTGGAATTAAGAAGAAGGGAGAGAGGGTGGACCTAATAGCTTATCTTAAAAAGGCTACTAATGAGTAACCCCACTGCCTTATTTATTACAAACAAATGTCTCATGACTTTTAATGTGTACTATAACTTAATTCATACCCCAAATCATGAATGGCTAATGATGTTTTTGTTGGGCAGTCCTGATTTAAGTAAAACTGACCTGTAGTAAAATGGGTATGATCTTTTTTAAAATAACAATTCCAGTTGCATAAATATTATCATTGCTCTCCCTCTCAAGATAGGGTTGGACTTAATTATTAAAGTTATACTTTCCACAAAGATGGAGGTGTCATTTCAAACCTATTATTGAATGGCTTTATACTTAAATTTATATATCCGGGCAGCTGAGCATGTTTAAACATTGGGGAAATTCTGTTACTGTCTCAGAAATGAGAAGACTCGCCTGTGTTTCAGTTTGTATTCACTGGTCTGTTACAGGTGATAGCTAAACATCAGGAAGTAACTGTCTATTCCTTACTTGATGTCATTTTAATTAAAATTCCCTAAGTCAAAGGATGCTGCTGCTTTCTACCACTGAAAGGCACTTACTGTGGTCTATATATAATATCAAATAAAGAGTATTTAGCATTAAAAAAAGAAAGAAAACTATATACAGTAAGTATATGCAATATATACAGGCAATAAGTTCAACAACAATGTCTAGTCCATTTGCATTTGACAAATTCAAAGAAAATACTTCATTATCTAATTTATCTTGGTGAGTCCAAAGTCTTGTATCTAATTTATTTTCTATTCTAATTTTAGTTATCAAATTATCTTTTAATGTCTCTCAACCTTTTACACTTTATATATCTTTAGTGAATGTCTTTTATGGTAAACAATGAAAAATGTAACTGTATTATCTAGTGTTCAACTCCCTCAGAGACCCAAGAAGGAATATATAGTAACTGAGTAAACAATGACAAGTATCCATAACCCAGTGAGTGACCAGCTTTTGGGAGTGTGGGTGTTGTATTACTTCTGGCTGCCTGGGGGCAATCTTTAGGGGATCCTGAAAAGAAAAATTTGGGTTAACTGTCAAACTGTATCATTTTTGTCCAGTCTAAGCATAATGGGAAAGTGCAGGGCTTGTCTCATGTCATGGCTAGAGTAGTCTGTGAGGCTGGATCATCTCAACTTGTCACCTCAAAATTGTTCTGAGCAGTTTGTAGTCCAAAGATGGTCTTTAGTTGGTGTTTTTCAGCTTAATCGTGTTGTCATAGTCCTGGTAAAATTGTCATTATGGAGCCCCATCCTCCTTTTGGAGACTTCAAATGTCGTTGTTAGGCATGGTCATGGTCCACTACAGAAAACTGGTAGGGACTCATATCTGAAATCACAGACAGGAAGGTAGAGACAACCTTTTTCTAGAATTAGTTAGTACCCTATATCATGACAAAAACATTAAAATGCATATGTATTAATCTTATAAATTTTTATATAAACATATTTATGCTTAAAGAAAAGCTATTAAAAGTCAATATGAAACCAAAGGATTAAGAGATTAGTGGCAGTATAATAGTCCTTCAATATTTATTTTTCTTCTATTCTGCATCAGGTGGTTCTTCTGACATGAGACAGAGATTTTTTTTTTTTTTTTTTAATGAGCATGCTTGGGTTTAGAGAAGGAGAAAGCCACACTCCAACTCCAAAGCCAGCTTTAATCTTTAATTGGACTGGGACTACAAAAGAACCATTTGGGGCTGGTGAGGAGTCTCAGAGGTTAAAAGGACTGACTGCTCTTCCAGAGGTCCTGAGTTCAATTCCCAACAACCACATGGTGACTCATAACCATCTATAATGAGATCTGGTGCCCTCTTCTGGCCTACAGGGGCACATGCAGACAGAACACTGGATACATAATTTTAAAAAAACAAACCATTTGCATTATATGTCTGTAGAGAAAAGCAGAAATAAACATTTGTGAAGATTTATGGACATTTATCCTGTGGAAATATGATATACCGATAGGTCAATTTACTCCTTTCCTTGAGACAGTTTTTCTAGATTATTTGTCCCTTTTCTTCAATTGGCCATTGGTCTACAGATTCCTTAGCTGGATATTCTCTTGAAAAGACAAAAATAAAACCCTTCCCCAACACTAAATTTTGGGAAGGTTCTCCTTTGGCAACTTATATCTGATCAAATGAAAAACATGTGTTAGTTTTATAGACTAGTTTTTTATTAAATGGCCATGCTGCTTGATGAACTATCATCTCTTCTAATTTAGAGGTGTCTTATTCATATCAAATCTTTATCATTTTAATGGTATCCATAGCTTTTCTTCACCTGTGGAAATAAAAAGCAAAACCACTTCCCAAATGTAACACATGCCTGGTTTCCATTCAGAGGTCAACGCATCTTTGAAGTATATCGGCTGATTTAATTCCATAGTTTTTTCTACTATCCAATGTCTCTCTGCAGCTGTTGCTGCTTTCTCATTCAAAAAATTCAAAGTTAATAAAGCACTATGCATTCTATTTTAGGGTTTCTTTATTATCCCTTTCTGTTTATTTAGCATATCCTTTAAAGTTCAATTTTATCTTTCTATAACCACCTGCCCTGTAAGATTGTGTGATACACCTATAATATGCTTTATATTATAAACTAATTTTCTTAGAGATATATGCTGGAGCATTGTCTGTCTTTATTTGTGCAGGTGTAATTACCAAATCAACCTTTTCTGATCGCAAACCAGTTGCCCATTAAAAACCTGAATAGGTATCAATGGTGTGGTATACATATTTTAATTTTCCAAATTCTACAGAATGAAACATAGATTTAACTCCTTTGAGTACCCTTTGGATTACTTCCTGCAGGTAGTGGAGTTTGATAATATAAAGAACAAATAGGTCATTCCTTATAATTTCCTTGGCTTGTTGCCATGTGATAAAAAAATATTTTTCAAACCTTTGCTATTGGCATGCTATTTTTTATAAAATTCCAAGACCTTTAGCACATTTCCTATAAATTGTTGATCAATTTCATCATTACCTTGTGCTAGAGGGCCTGGCAAAACCATATTAGATCAGAAGTGAAATATATATATATATATTCATTCCTATTCCTGATTGTGTCGTGTCTTATAACTGAATAAATAATAAATTTAATTCTGTATCATCTTGAATAAATTCAGCAATTTCAATATGTAAAACAATACTTCCTGCATATTGTGAATCAGTAACTATGTGTAGAGTTTCTTTATGAGCCATTAACATGAGAACAGCACATAATTCTGACTTTTGGACAGAATTATAAGGACTTAGATCCAGTTTACTTAAATTTCTTGATTTATTTGCATCAGTATAAAATGTAGGGGCTCTAGTTATTGGTATTTCCCTTATAATGCAAGGAAGGATCCAGTAAGTTCTCTTTGTCAGTTGAACTCTCTTCCTTTTGGGTTAATTGTTGTTAACCTCTCCCAAAAAATTATTGCAATGTCCTTGCCAGGGTTCACTTGTCTACCCATAATTTGTCAATTTCATCATTAGTAGAAAGTACTACAATTTCTGCTGGACCTATTCCTGCTAATTTACAAAGTCTCAATTCCTTTTAGAGTCAACTCAGATTAAAAACAAAGGTTTTTAATATTTTTACCTGGTTTATGTGATAAAAAGATCCATTCTATGATAACATCTTCCCTTTGCATTAAAATTCCTGTAGGGATGCTTAGAGGGCAACATGACTAGAATGCAGTTAAGCTTTGGATCCACAAAATGCACATGTGCAATCTGTAATTCCTCTTCCACCAAAGCCAATTCTCTCTCAGCTCAGGTGTTGATTCCCTGGGAGTATTCAAGTCTTTATTATCATGTAAGATTTTATTTAAATGAATCAGTTGATCAGGTTTTATACCAATAATATTCTGTAGATGGGTAATGTCTGCTAGAAATCTTTGGAAATCATTAGAATCTGCAATCAATCTCACCTAATTTGTACCATTTGGCATCTAATTTTTTGAAAACCTATTTTATAACCCAGTAATTAACAGAATTTCCTCATTGTATTTTTTCTGGAGCAATTTGTAATCCCCAACAAGGAAAATTTTTCTTTATTTCTTCAAACATTCTTTCTAAATTATCTATATTGATTCAGATAATAAAAGGTCATCCATGTTGTGGTAAATTAGAGATAAGGAAACTGCTTACATATTATTTCCAACAGCTGCCTTACAAAATATTGGCATACGGTGGGGCTGTCTAACATTCCCTGTGGGAGAACCTTCCATTGATATCTCTTAACAGGCTGAGAATTATAAACAGGCCCTGTGAAGGCAAATTTTCTGTCTTTTTCTTGAAAAGATATAGTGAAGAAACAACCTTTTAATCAATAACTATGAGAGGCCATCCTTTAGGCAATAGAGAAGGCAAATGAACTGTCCAGACTGTAGGGAACCAATTGGCAGAACCAACTTATTAACAGCTCTTAAATCATTATCCATTTTCCATATTTTCTTTTAATAACAAATACAGGAGAATTACAAGGGCTGGTTGATTCCTCAATATGCTGAGCATTTTGCTCCTGTACCAGCTTCCCTAAAGCCTTCAGTTTCTCTGTTGTTAAAGGCCATCATGCAACCGATACAGGTTTGTCTGTCAGTCATTTTAAAGGTAGGGCTGTTGGTATCTTTCGAAGATTAGCCGTTGTTGTGTCCTGTTCTTGCACTACCTGAATGGTCAGTAATTGTTCTTTATAACTTCTTATAAATTTTCCAGAATCATATGATAATTTATGTTTTGTTTCTAAGATTGGGAGAACGTTTATCTTGAGTATTTCATTGTTGTAATTAAACATGTCTCCACAAATTCATTGCAATATTAGCAACATATGCCTTTAATATCCCATCTCATGCTCTGTTGTAACTGATATAAAATTCCAATCCCTAAAAGTTGAATTTACCTCCTGATGAGGCCAATTTGGATGCCAAGATTTTTGTCATATAATTTTATTTCTGCACCTGTGTCTACCATACCTTCAATGATAGCATCATTTATTCACACTTTTAATTTCAGTCTCTGCTCATTTAGAGTTTTTTAATAATTTAATTTAAATTAAAAACAATATTATTTTACATACCTATCCCAGTTCCCTCTCCCTTCTGTCCTCCCATGCCCCCCACCAACCCCCATCCCACCCCCCATCTACTTCCCAGGGGAATCATCAAAGTCTGTCACATCATCTTGGGCAGGACCTAGGCC